CTTTCTGATCACTATGTTTGCTTAATCAGAGTCATGAAAAAGAGAATAAAATTTGGTCACGTGACCAAACCATTTTGCAACCGTTAAAGCTTACAAGCATAATGCGCAGGCTCTATTATAATCATAACTTGTAGACTACATGGACAGCCATTCAGACTGAAGTAGTACAGTACATATATAAATATTATAAATAAATAAACAAGAATTTGAAATTCCAGAACAATTTCCTGCCTTCAGAAATATCAGAATTTTTCAGCCAATATGACCAATATTTCTGCAAGTCCAAGGGCAACTGCTCTAGACTCATACATTGAGAAAGAGCCTATAAGTAACGCAGAAATAAATTTTGCTCAACAGATTGCTCACATCTATTCCAAACTGGACTCCACACTGAGAGTCAAGTATGTTCAGAATATTTTGGCTGGCATGCATCCAATTTTAATGGATGAGTTTCTTTTTGTTCAGTCTCATACTTTTAGACCTGTAATTATCTTAGTTTATAAAAGATGCCAGAGGCAAATTGGTTGATTAAATTGCAGAGATTATAATCCATTCTTTGAAGGAGGATTACATTTCATTTCCACTGAAGGAAGCAATTATAAATTCTTTATTTTAAAACCTTCCACTGTCTCCTGATGACTAGACAACTATTGAACCATTTATTTATTTGTCTATGGCCCACTTTTCTATTGAAATGAATTCTCAAAATGGCTTCAAATTTCCCTTTCATGAATGGTTCTTGATTGATGGTGGCATACCTCCAGATTTATTGGATAAGGCTGATTATTTGAATCTTTATCAATCTAAATTTATATTAATTATCAGTCAGTTTTGGCTTTCTTTGCAGATAACCTACATTGAGAATTAGACATATGCTTCTCAACTGTATTTATAACATCAGCTAGAGAATAATAGAAAAACAGAAAAACAGAGTTGGAAGGGACTTTGGGCATCTTCTAGTCCAGCCTCCCTGTTCAAGCAGGAAACCGATATCATTTTAGATAAACGGTTGTCCAATCTCTTCTTAAAAACTTCCAGTGTTGGAACACCCACAAATTCTGATGGCAAATCATTCCATTGATTAATTGTTCTATCAGGAAATTTCTCCTACATTCTAGGTTGCTTCTCTCCTTGATTAGTTTCCATCAATTACTTCTTGTCCTGCCTTCAGGTGCTTTAGGGTTGACCCTCTCCTCTTTGTATTAGCCCCTTAGCTATTGCAAAAGTCTATTATGTTACTCCAGTCCTTCTTTTCATTAAACGATACATACGCAATTTGTACAGCTGTTCTTCACATGTTTTAGTTCCCAGTCCCCTAATCATCTTGTTCTTCTCTGCACTCTTTCTAGAATCTCAGCATCTTTTTTATATTATGGTGACCAAAATTGGATGCAGTATTCCAAGTGTGGTCTCACCATGGCATTATAAAGTGGTATTAACACTTACATGATCTTGATTCTATCCCCCTATTAATGCAGCCTAGGATGTGTTGGTTTTTTGGTAGCTATAGTACACTGCTGGCTCATATTTAAGTAATTGTCCATTAGGACTCCAAGATCCCTCTTGCAGTTACTATTATTGATACTATTCTATATCTGTGCAATTGGTTTTTCTTGCCTAAATGTAGAACCTTACTTTTCCCATCATTGAATTTCATTTTGTTAGATAAGGGCCTTGAGCCTATCTTGAGCCTATTATCTTGAGTGTTGGCTATTCTTACCAGCTTGGTCTCATCTGCAAATTTGATGAGTTCCCCATCTATCCCCTCATCCAAATCATTGATGAAGATATTGAAGAGTACTGGGCCTAAAACAGAGCCTTGGGGTATCTTTCTTCCCTCCATGTAAATGCAGTTCCTTTGAGGACTACAAGTTGAGTGCAGTTGGTCAGCCAGTTACGAATCCATCTGGTGGTGATGCTGCATAACCCAGATGCTGAATTTAGATGGAGACAACATTTTATGGTGGTTTTAGTCATATTTCAGATAACGTTTCCAGAATAGGATTGCTAGGTATAAAAGATGCTCAAAGCCATCTTTTCCAGTCCATGTGGATTCATCTGAGTTTTACGTTCTCCCTCTACCCAGATTCGATGGAGAATTCATCCACAACTTTTGGGTTCAGTTATATCACTATATTCATGGTATTATGTGTATATCTACATTCGAGATACTGAAAGTCCTGAACCACTGCTGAATGCAACATTAAAATGAATCTGAGGAAAAATAAATTGCAACTGAATTGAGGTAAGCCTTACTGATCAGCAGACAGGCTAGTTAGCCTGTGATGGTGAATACAATCTCATCTGGATAGAAAAGCAGTTCTGCTGAATAAGCAGATATTTGGGGTGAGAGAATGATCCTATGAAAAATGGAATGGATTTTCGAAGGCTAGATGAATGGGGGGTGGGGTTGTCCAGTTTGGTTGGTATGCCAACAATATTTATTTATTTATTTATTTATTTATTTGATTTGATTTCTATACTGCCCTACTCCCGAAGGACTCAGGGCGGTGCACAGCCAAACAATAAAATACATACATACAAAATTTAAAAGTGGAATTAAAATCAAATTAAATAGTTTTGGCCCAAACAAATTAAAACCCCAATCAATTTAAAACCAATTTTAAAATTTGAATATATAAAATACTAAAAAATATTAAAAATTTAAAAATCTTTTATAAAAGAAGGAGAAAATTAGGCCAGGCCCGCCTGGTGAAATAAAAAGGTCTTTAAGGTGCGGCGGAAGGTGCGCAGATCTGGGATCCTCCGTATCTCTGGGGGGAGCTCGTTCCAGATAGTAGGTGCCCCCACAGAGAAGGCTCTCCCCCTGGGGCCACCAGTCGGCATTGTTTGGCCGACGGCACCCTGAGGAGCCCCTCTCTGTGGGAGCGTACCGGCCGGTGGGAGGCTATTGGTGGTAGTAGGCGGTCCCGCAAGTACCCAGGTCCTGAGCCATGGAGCGTTTTAAAGGTGGTAACCAAAACCTTGAAGTGCACCCGGAAGACCACCGGGAGCCAGTGCAGCTCGCACAGGAGGGGTGTTACATGGGAACGCCAGGTCGCTCCCATTACCACCCGCGCGGCCGCACTCTGTGCCACTATCTTTCTTGAGGTAAAAGATCAGATCGTATTAAGTCATGCTGTAATTATGTAGCATCTAGTTTACAATAATGAACACGTAGAATTCTAATTATTAAAAATTAACATAGAATGTACTTCCACATGATGTTTACTTTAAGACCATATACTATTACATTTATCACATGTGCTTCTTTTAACTTGTTTCCAACTGAAGGGGCCTATTTTTACTGACAGAACCCTAAATAGTTGAGGGCCAAGATAGCAGAAATACTAATATCATTTGCACTTGTGAAAAACTCTGCTGTATGTCTCGTCATTGATACATATTAGATGTATAAAACTCCTATAAAGGAGTTTTGGTTACAATGTTTGTATTACAGCACTTAAGTCAGAAGAACCCTCTTTTTCCTGTACTTTGGGCAGAGAATATAGATAGTCCTCGATTTATGACCACAACTGAGCCCAAAATTTATGTTGCTAAGCTGTTAAGTAAATTTTGTGTCAATGTACAACCTTTATTTTCACAGTTGTGAATCACTGCAGTTGTTAAATTATTAACATGTTTGTTAAGTGAATCTGGTTTCCTTATTGACTGTCAGAAGATTGCAAAATGTGATTACATGATTCTGGGACAGTGCAACCGTCATAAATACATATCAGTTGCCAAGTACCCGAATTTGATCCCCTGACCATGGAGATGCTGAAAAATGGTCATAACTCACTTTTTTTCATTGCCATTGTAACTTCAAATGGTCAGTAAACAAGTGATTATAGCTTGTAAACACAATATTTGTTTTCAGTATAATTTTCTGAAAACACTCTAGTGCAGTGATGGCTAACCTTTTTGGCACCCAGTGCCCAAAGTACATGTGCATGTGTGTGAATGCACATGCGTGCACACCCCCAAAATGCAATGTGAGTGTCCCTCACGCATGCGCCCTGCCCACGCACATCTCCCACGCATGCTCACATTCTCCCACGCATGCGTTCGCATCCCTGTGCATCCCCATGCATGCACCCGCCCACCCTCACATGCACACGCAATCTTCACATGTGTGTGCATCCCTGCATGCACCCTGCCCCCCCACTCATGCGCAGCAGAGACCCAAAGACCACTGGCCGGCGGGAGACATGCGTGCATGCGCGGTGGAGCTGGGCTGGGGCGACAGCTGGCATGCCCACAGAGAGGTCTCTGTGTGCCATCTTATCATTATCATAAACAGCCATTTTATCTATGGCTGTTCACTGCCTTGAGTCCTTTGGGAGAAGGGCGGTATATAAATTTAAATATTAAATTAAATTAAATTAAATCTGTGTCACGTGTGTCATAGGTTCGCTATCATGGCTCTAGTGTGTTGTTTTATTTTTATAGTTGTAATTACAATTGTGAATAGGTTGCTTTACTTTATTGTCATGCTGGTTTTAGTTCTGAGCACATTATGTAGAAGAATGATATATGCTTATAGCATATTTGGGGAGGAGGGCGTGTGTGAAAAATAAAAGCTAACATAGTGCTTTATTGTTCCATTCAGTCTTCTAAAAATTCCAAGCCTGTTATAATAAACAAAGAACACTCTATACATGCTAAGGAGAAATTTATGCCTGTCAGGGAACTGAACAGAAAATTGTTTTCTTTCCTCCTTCCTTCATTAGAAATCCAGATAAGATTCTCACTCTTCTTTCAACTGTTCAGATTTACTGCTATATTGCTCTTGGTTAATTTTTCTTTGTGTGAAAAGATTTATGTTTTCCTGCCTGCTTAAGGTATGAGCTACGAAGGACAGAGTCTGCCTGGCTAATAGCCAGGTCCACAATCAACACTTTCAGTTTTTCCATCACTCCTGGATATAAGCCTAGAGACACACCTAACAAAAATCCAGGTGTGGTTGCCATGAGTTCACCTGGCATAGGCGGGACAGGGCTACCATTAAAGGAATAGTACCCTCAAGGCACTGAGATTTGTTCACACTTTCTTTTTGCCACACTTTGGAGGCTGAGGGCATCAGAGAAAAGAGCAACCACCGAGTTTAGGTAATGGAGAAAATAATTTTCGTTTTCTTTTCTTTCTGCTTGCAATCTGCTTTCTCCTGTTCTTCATAGTGACTTGTTACATCTCACTTTTGCATTTAACAGACTGTATACCATTTCTGTCTAGTAATGATAATAATAAATATCAGGTTTAATAATAAAATCAGGTTAAATGAATTGTAATCTGCAATATCACTTATTTAAAGTGTTAGCTTTTGTTGTTCAGTAGGGGAAAACATATTTTTTTGTGAGGGATGTTTTGAATTCAGAGATTTAAAAAGCACACTAAAATAAACCTTAGCTGAATGTTTCTCCTTGAAGAAGATCCTGCATTAAATCTGTATTGTACAAAAGCAGTACATAAACACTGCTTTTATATTTACTAAACCTAGACATTTTCTGAACATGCAGATGCCAGTCACATGAGGAGTCATTTTTTTCTGGACAGTACTTGTAAAACATCTGGATAATACTGACTCATATGCATAAAAAAGTTAAGCAGGTTTCAATGTGTATGTTGAATGTGCGAAGAGGACAAGTGAAATCTTAATGCCAGTTCTATCTCTTGTAGAATTGTGGGTTCATTTAACATCAGACATTTAATGAGTGTTTCTGCTCTAGCAATTTGTAGTATCATCCAGCCTTTACTGTAGCATTATACCACATTAGTGGTACTCTATGTTGTCAGTCCTAACAACTAATACAAATTACACAATTTGTTCTTTCACAGGATCATATAAAGTCTTATATGACATAACTTGCCCACTTTGATTTTACCATATAGTCATTGATTTCCTTACTAAACTAGCAAAGGTAGAAATTGGAGTTTGTCTTTTGTTTGTTTTAAAGCATTTTGTTATTATCGGTAGAATATAATCACTCCAATTCATACAGTGGCAAATGATTTTTTTTCTTCAATCATAACTTCAAAATATTTTAGCATCAATTAAAAGATCAGTTTAAAAAGTGGTAAAATGATGCTCTGCAAAGCCATTGGTGAATGTATACCAATCAATGAATGATCATACCAATGAATTATATCCATGGTGAAATCCAATTTTTTTTGCTACTGGTTCTGTGGGCATGGCTTGGTGGGCGTGATGTGGCTTGGTGGGCATGGCAGGGGAAGGATATTGCAAAATCTCCATTCCCACCCCACTCTGGGCCCAGCCAGAGGTGGTATTTGCCGGTTCTCTGAACTATTCAAAATTTCTGCTACCGGTTCTCCGAACTACTCAAAATCTCCACTACCGGTTCTCCAGAACCTGTCAGAACCTGCTGGATTTCACCCCTGAATTATATCCTTCCCTTCCTTTTCCCTCATCATGCATCAACAGCAGAAGACTGTGGGAAAAATTCATACAAACTTTTGATGATACTAAGCAAAGTTTCTCTATGTGTGTACTTGTCTCTATTTAACATACAATTCAATTGAGAACATTTGTTCAGGATCTAATTCTAGTGCAACCTTTTCAACCCAGGTGGTTTGAAACCACATTAGCATATGGACCAGAATATGCTGAGAAGTGAAGCTCATCTGGAGGGACCATTTAAGGAAATTTAATTTGGTAGTTCCATTTTTTCTTTTTTTTCCTGAAACTGGAGCTGCAGAGTTGCACAGATCCGTTTCTCAATAGCATAAAAGGAAGCTGGGTTGTGGGGGGGAAATGACTATTAGATTCCTTTGTGGCTCATCTTGCTGGAGAGGTGTGGCAGTGAAATTGAAGAATGTTAGTTACCACAGCTACCAAACCTTGTTTATGTTTTAATAGAAATAATAACTGTGTGTGTTATCAAGGATATAGTCTAATTATATAATCCTTAAGAGTTTCACATATTTGGGAATTCAAAGAATATTGAAGTATATGTGTGGGTTTGTGTAACTGGATGCCAGGCTTCCTGTCTGTCTGCCCGCAGATAAAAAGATGTTGAGCTAGATTGATTTATAAGGTAATCCTACCATTTAAAACAGGGAGGCTATTGCCTCACTGGGATAATTTGGGTGGTGTAGCGAGGTATCAAATTATCATTATTTCACTTATTTGGCTCCCTTAGAGGATGTACTTAGAGGAAGTATCATTTGCTGGACCTCAACTAGTTTAAATATGAACAAAGAGCCCTTGGATCTGAAAATACGCATGAAGTGTGTGAAAGTCAGGGACAATGGCTGCCTATGTGTGTCTATCTAGTAGGTTCCATTGTGCAATTAAATTAAGAACATGTCATCAGAAGAAGTACAATAAGTATCACCATATCCTCACTGAAATTATTCCACTTTCTTCACATGAATCACTAAAAGCCAGATAGTCAAACATTACAAGTATAAGGTAATAGGTAAGAATATGAACAAGGGGTGTCTAGTTCAAACTTCACCTCATGCTTCAGAAAAAGTTTGCTCTCCCAACTCAGTCCCCCTATTGCAATATAGAGATAATATTGTCCTATTGTGGAGATATCTGTATGGTATTAGCTCCTTGCTTGCATTATGGAAACGGATCCAACCCATGGAGAAGTCCAGACTTCTTCTTCCCATGGAGCCTGTCTGTAAGTGTACCTGTAAGGCTAGTAAACTCTTAACTAGAGAAAAGTCATTTCTGTTGTCTTTCCACCTGCTTTTGCCTTCTGCATGAGGGAGGCAGGGCAAACACACCCCAAATGTGATCAGAATTTGGGGTCCCTTTATAATGTCTAAAGAGAGTATGATGAAATTGAAAACTGGTTATGCTTGGTCATTTGGCACAATATATTTGTTTTGTTTTCACCTGGAAGGCCACATTCTTCCTGGTACCATTCCAACAACTTAACCACTGCTCCAGACTGAATCTTATGGGGATCCCATGAAAAAGAGGAAAAAATAAAGGCTGTGAGGCCTTCCTTTCTCAACTGGAATGAATGTCTAATTAACTGTGCTCTCTTATCTACGTATAAAAAACTTCAAAAACAAATTCTGTATTCCCAAAATGAGATAACCTACAATTAGTCTTTTCCTTGCATAGCTCCTTCTCCCAGTCAGGTTTTGATCAAAATTAGGATACATTTCCTAAGGACAAGAATCATCCACACTGTTTTGAATAATGGTGGTTTCCTTTATTAGAGGTATTTTAATGAGGCTTGCATAGCCAGCTTGGAGTGTTTCATTATGCATTTAGCACTGGGTTGGACTAGATGCCTCCAAGCGTAACATTCCACAATTTTGTGAAGTTGCAAAACAGCCACTTCCCATCAATACAAGAGTTTCCAAGTAATAACCATTTTCAGTCATTCCTCTTGACCCTTGTATATAAAAAACATGGAATTTATAACATGTAGACTAATAAATGTAGCCTCCTTCTGAAATCAAGTTCGACTCCTGGACAGATCAATACAGTGTTTTTGGCTCCCATTCAGTCTTCTTCTGGAATATTTTTTACTTCCCAGTCTAGCCTAGAGCCTTGGGGTGATCTCCTGTCTAAATGCAAACCAAATCCAGACCTGCTTAGCTTTTCCAGACCTGCTTAGCTTTTTCAAGAACAGCCAAGGACAGTTAAATGCTGCCACCTCTATTCTATTGCCAGGATCTGATCAAAATTCTCAGACAGTTCAGTCTGAAGCAAGCAATTGCATGCAACTCTATACATAAAGCAGATGATCAATTGTTGAGGGGTGGGCAGGAGGGGAGCAAGAAGGAATAAATTGGAGAGGAGCAAGTTTAAAAATTTGGTCCTCTCTCACCATCACTTCAACTCTTACCTGTTTAGCATACATATGTAAAAAGGCATGAGGAGTATGGATGGCCCTGAAAATGTACAGATTAACTTTGCAGATGAAGAGAACAAAAAGGAATTGTTTGTTCGTGGCCAACTGTTATATAATTCCTGGGACATCATGTTCTGACTGTTTCTCAAAACTTTACATTTACCTCATCCATCAGCCTCAAAGCAGTTAGTCACCTACTACTAGTCATAACATGTCTATCAAGAGCTTCTCCACCATGGAGGAACTATAGCCAGTCCATCACTAATTCATCTGCTCCTGAAGAACATACTTAAGTATCTGATTTTTTTAAAAAAACTATCATCATTAGATTTCTCTGACATTATAACGAAGATATTTCAAAGATCAAGGGGGCAAAGCAATAAAGCAATAATGCATACTATGGAAATTGATTGGGTAGGAAATGGATTCAGGGTAGTTGTGACCAGTTATGCTTCTGTCTTTGTATATTGTTGCACTAGCTTTATTTTTTTTTCCTGTGCTGTTTATGCACTTCTAAAAATATTTTTTTCCTAATTATTTTATAAACTTTCCACATCTACTTTTTGCTTACATGACAATTATACAATCTCTGAGGTTTAATGTTTAAATTTTGATCTGTCCATCAAGGCCTGTCTTAATTCCTCTGGGGCCTAACACTTGCCCTTTGGGATTTTCTTTAGTTTTGATTAACAATCTGTCCATTGGATTGGAATCTGGATCCAGAAGGTTCTTTGACAAACAAGCTTGTTCCATGAAAGGAGTTGTAACTCCATAGTGAACAGATTTATCTCTCAAATTGCATACCAGTTCCCAGAAACAATCATAATTTTTCAGTTTCATTTACTGCTAATTTTGCTGTGGCAGTCCTTTCCTGCTGAACATATTCATGACTTAGATATCCTGAGCTAGGCTCATAGAACAGTTGCATGGCAGTCATTCAAAATCTAAAACAACCTAAAGATTGTTCAAATGGCTTTGAAACACAGCAATTCTATTGATTACAGACAATTCCTCCATGAAGTCAGGATACAATAATTAAGAGATTTTTTTTGGTCTATAATAAAGGAAAACAGCTGCTTGTTTCCTTATTTCCATTTCTCTTAGGAACTTACATCGATTCATTAATTATAAAACAAAAGCAATATAAAATATAAAACAGCAACATTTAAAAGCCCAAGTAAATAAGTTTTGAGTATTTATCTTATTTTGTGAATTTTAAAAAATTTCTTCCTAAACTTTGTAACTTCTCTTATGTATACTATTGGGATTCTTAAGACAGAATCCCAATAGTAGTTCCATAATACTTGCCTTGATATGAATAAAGTAAAATAAAGTAAAACATCTCATTAATGATCAGTGGATCCATGGCAATGAGATGCCTCACCTAATAGCAGGGAGTGGACTGTAGAGGAACAGACAGTCCCCTAAATAACTTGGATCTAAGCCATATAAGAGTTTATACGGTATTGTGAGTATCCTGAATTGGATTAGAAGGCTATCAATTATGAAGGAAGCTGTTTGAATATATGAGTGATATAGGACCCCAAAGAAGCAGTACTTATTGCATGTGTGCTTGGATGACTGAAGTTTTCAGAGTATCTTGAAGTGCCATCTTAAGAAGAGTGTATTTCCATAGATCTATCCTACAAATAGCAGTGCTTGAGTTCCTAGAGTGAGGTTTCTCTCTTTCAGGTACAGAACAGGGGCAGGTTTCAAAACCCGTCGCTACCGGTTTGCTCATGGACACATGTGCACGCACATGACGCTTCTGCTCATGCCCAGAAGAGTGGGTGGGTGGAGCCTCCCACCGCCGTTGCTACCGGTTCGCCCAATCTGGGGCGAACTGGTAGCAACCCACCACTGGTACAGAAATCTGACAGCTGGTAAAAGGCTCTCTTGCCTTTGAAAATATATGACTGTCCATTGGATTGGAATCTGGATCCAGAAGGTTCTTTGACAAACAAGCTTGTTCCATGAAAGGAGTTGTAACTCCATAGTGAACAGATTTATCTCTCAAATTGCATACCAGTTCCCAGAAACAATCATAATTTTTCAGTTTCATTTACTGCTAATTTTGCTGTGGCAGTCCTTTCCTGCTGAACATATTCATGACTTAGATATCCTGAGCTAGGCTCATAGAACAGTTGCATGGCAGTCATTCAAAATCTAAAACAACCTAAATTAAAATGCAATTAAAATGCAGTTAAAAGTTATTTTAGGGGCTTGGGGAAATAGGAAATTGTTCACCTAGCGCTAAAATGATGCTAGTTGTTGCAGTGACATCTTTGAGGAGGGACTTCCCTAAATGGTTACCACCATAGAAAAACTCAACCCTTTATAAAGCCCACCTTATCTCCTTTGGTGCAAGGACCTGGAGAGGCCTCAGTAGATGATCTTAAGATTCAGATAGAACATGTAGAAGAAGGCACTTCTTCAGGTATCATGGCCCTAAACTGTTTATAGGTTAAAATCAGTTAAAATCAGCACTTTGAATTGGATCTGAAAATGAGCAATCAGCCAGTATAAATGGGAAAAAATAGTATAATATGTTTATTTTAGTCAGTCCCAATCATTCTAAACTAACAAACTATTTTCAAAAAGAGCCCCATGTACAGCACTTTGCAAAAATCTAGCTGGGAAGATACCAAAGCATGAATGTTTTAAGTCTGCTTCTCTCCACATAATGCCACAATTAGTAAATCGCCAAAGGTGATAAAAGGCACATGGTGCCACCAAGATGACCTGGGCCTCTGGTGACAATGGAGAATCTAGGACCACTTTCAAAACTGCAAACTTGCTGCTTTCAGGAAATTATAGACCTCTCTGGGGCTCAGCTAGCATCATCCACAAACAGTATCTCTCTCTTTCACCTGGGTTGAGCCTCAGTTTACAGACCATTTCTGTGCCAATTCTGCACCTGAAAGCAGACTAAAAAGCATCAGGGTAAATAATTTTGCCTAAGATCTCCTGCAGCTTCAATACACTTCTCTTTCTTCCAGCTTGGCTAAAAATTGAATATAGAAACAGTTGAAATACACTGAATCCAAAGATGGCTCCTTAAGCAAGAACATTCCCACCACAACGTTGGTATGGATGACAGCAGTGGTGAAATCCAATTTTTTTTACTACCAGTTCTGTGGGAGTGGTGTGGCTTGGTGGGCGTGGCTTGGTGAGCATGGCAGGGGAAGGATCCTGCAAAATCCCCATTCCCTCCCCATTCTGGGGCCAGCTAGAGGTGGTATTTACCAGTTTTCCAAACTACTCAAAATTTCTGCTACTGGTTCTCCAGAACCTGTCAGAACCTGCTGGATTTCACCCCTGGATGACAGAGTCCTAACAGTCATCTCAGGACAGTCATCTCAGTGGTGTACTCAGTGGCGTACTATGAAGGAAACAGTTTCCTTCATAATGCGCCACTCATCCCCTGACTTTTCCTTTTCTTGACTTCTCCTGTATAGCTTCTGTTTTAACATCCTCCTACTTAATATAACAGTGCAACAACAATGAGAGATCCTTCCTTTAAATTTTGAACAAAGAGCAGACAACATGCAATTTTAAAAATTCAAATAGCAGACCCATAATGGAATCTTAAACTCCCAAAACTGTAAGGGGAGGAAAAGAGAGAACTTTAACACTTTTTTTTTCCTGTACTGCATCATTAATTAAAAGTAATCCTTCAAATCCATTTTGGCAGAAAATGCATTGGTGCAAATAATTCCTATCCTTAGAATTTATTTGTGAACTATTTTCTTTCCCTCTCCCTACTCCCTTCTCTGAGACTAAAGTGCACTTCTTTCTTTCTTTCTTTTTTAAGGTCCTATGCACATGGGACTTCTCAATAAATGAATCAGGATCCAACTAAAGTTTACAGGTATTGGCAAAATTGGAATCAATCACAACATAAAGACAAGAAGACTTAATAGCTTCAGGATGTCAAAAGTCATCCCAAATCATGTGGTACGGGTTGGGCAGACAGTGTGCATTTCACCCAAAGAAGAACATGCCTGTTTGCAGCACCCAAATGATGGTTTGTCCTGTCACACATTGCCAATGCAGTGTTTTTATTATACAGTGGAAGGCTGGGACAGGAAGAACTTGTTGGCTCAAACCCAAGGATGTTCACCACCTAATAAATCTGTTAAATCTACTGCAATAGTCACACCTGTGCCTTCTCAACATCCTGAGGACAAACATCAACAGGAAAAATCAACAGAGCCAAATGAAGACAGCTATCCAGCCTCTCCTACTTTGGATATATCTATTGAGAACTTGAATCGCTTGATCTTGGAAATTGACCCAACTTTCAAGCCTCTGCAACAGCTGACTCAGGCAGACAGTCCCCTCCAAGCTGTTCCACAAAGCAACACCAGTGTGGTGGCAAAGCATGAACATGATACATCAGGTAAGATATGGAATCCCTCAAACATAAGAGATCACTCTAAAAGTAATTCTTTTTCCCACTATCTAGAGATTTTAGGCCTAGAGAGTTGAAATTGAGTGCAGAGAATTCAGAAAGATGCACCACTTGTCCTTAAGCCCTGAAAATTTATATGAACAATCAAGAACAGTTTCTAGAAGGTGGAGTGGAACCCTAATCCTAACCCTCTCAAAAACACTGCAACGAATGTGCAATTTCTTGCATTAAAATAATGTGTGTGGAAATGATCTTGCTACTAATAAAAAGACATCAAAACATATATGTTTTTTGAACTCTTGATGGATTTTGTCTGAAAATTATGGCAGATAAGTGAGGGGGGAATTACAAATTGAGACTTTGTTGCTTTGGCAACCCATTGAATTCTACAGCTAACATCTGGCAATCATGTAGTAAAAGTTTTCATTCTACCAAAGACTATATATGAAGGACCCAAACCCTGCTACTCTTCCTCTAGTCATTTAATGAGACATAGAATGGCTATTCAGTCATATGCTGGCAATCTTTTAATCCATCAGCTGCCACAAAGCTGTCTGGCTACTTTCTGCCTTTTTAATTATTTTACCATGAAAGTGGAGGGAATCAGCAATGGATTTTTAGGGTTTCCAGAATTATACTAGACCAGGGATCTGCAACCTTAAAACACTCAAAGAGCCATTTGGACCTGTTTCCCACAGAAAAGAAAACACTGGGAGCCATAAAACCCTTTCCGTGACTATTTCTTGAGCAGCCACAAAACTAGCAAATGTAGTTGAATTAAATGTACTGATTTCTTCTGAAACTTTTTTTTCTTGGATCTATCCATGGTTGGCCTACCAGGGGTTGAAAAGCTCAATAAATCACGTGCCAGTGGGTGTCACACATTGGCGGTTGTGACACATATTCTGAGTGACAGGGAGCTGCAGAAGAGGGATGAAAGAGCCACATGCAGCTCCAGAGCCGCAGGTTGCTGACTCCTGTACTAGACAGTCATAGGGAAAGAATCTCTCTGCTCCTTTTTCACCATAAAAAGGGAGCAGGGATGCCCATAAGTGAGTCAACATTTCACAATGCTGCAAAACCCCAACCCCAACCCTTTCTATGGGTGTCCTGTCTATAAAGGAATGAAAAGACTCAGGGTTTCAATTTTGCAATTACAGTCATTTTAGGTTTATTTGTTTTTTTACTTTCCCCAGGAGATGTCCCTAATACTAGGGGTGAAATCTACTAAGGACAAGAGTCTCCTTTTTGGTTATCTCTGTTTTGGAAATCAGGAATGTCAGTTTAATCCCAGTAAAGGATCTGACCCAACAGGGAAGGAGTTATATTTATTTACTACTTTTATTTATCAAATTTATTTGCTGCCCATCTCAAGGTTCAAGGCAACTCTGAGTGCCTTATCAGGAAATGAATTAAAACCAAACTAATCCAGGACTATTTGGGACTACATTTAATATTTGTTTGTTTGTATCCCACCTTTATTATTTTCATAAACAACTTACAGCAAGTATATCCAACACACCTTCCTCCTCCTGTTAAATTTAATCCCCTCTGGGTTGGCTAAGGAGGATTATTATTTTTTTTTACAGGTTAAAGAGTTCACTTAACATACACATCTCTTGTGTATGAGTCAGTCAAGTATTTATGCAAACAGGGCCAAAACGTTCCAAATAATGTAACTTTCTCATAAAAGTAACTCAATCAAATCTTCACCAGGTGGTCCCATCCAAACTTTGTACTGTATTTGATGTGTTTGAGGGCAAGTTCTGTGATGCAGTCTCACATGGTTTGCTGTTATGATTCTGTCTTACAAAACAGATTGATTTATTTCAGTTCCAACAGGTTGGATATGCCAGTTTCTTTGTGTCTTCCCCTTGGGGTTTGGCTGGCCCTAAGGCAGGGGTGTCAAACTTGTGGGCCATGGGCCGTATGCGTCACATGCTGGCAACGCCCACACCCAGTTTAGCGAAGGGGGGAAATGTTGCAATATGTCACATGACGCCGCCATGACGCCATGAGTTTGACATCCCTGCCCTAAGGCTTATTCAGACCAATCTTCTTATACAATGAGATCCCAGTGACGCCTCACAGAGTATTCCAAGTGGCAATTGCCAATGCCAGCAAAGAACTAACTCTTAACTTCCTCCATAATCTATTTGTGCATGAACATATTGACATGTAATCCCACAGGTTGGGAAACTCTCCAGTTTGTACAATATTTTTGGCTTTGTAGATACAGATATTGCATTAGTTTACTTTTTTAAAAAAAATGAGCTAATAAATGCTTCAGCCAAGCAAATTTCCTGTAATTATTCTAGAATGGAATAATTTTTGCACCAGAAAAAGCAGAGATTCAGAAAGTGTAATATATTCTATGGCTCATGATTGTACTATTAGAATTTCATCCAGGTTTGGTCATCCTCACTAAAACAATGTTGGTTTTCACAAAGAAGCCTTACTGATTTCAATGACATTGCAGTAAATGTGACTTTCTCCTAATCAGTTAAATTTTGCCATTGTTGTAGATCATAATAACATTTAAGAATTTACTGTGGATAAGGCAAAAGATCCAGCTTTTGTCCAGATACGCAATGTCCATCATCCATTTGTCAGTAATAGCATGCCAGGTACACACACACACCCTCAAGCAGCCACAAACAGGATATGAAAGCAACACAACCCCACCTCAAGAACATACCACAGACTGTCAGTAAGATAGTTGCAATATTGTTTTTATTGTTTATCAAATGGCAAGATGCTATACTTTTTATTTTGGTTTGGCCAGCATAGGAAATTATTGTAGCACACATAGTACTTATGTACACATACAGACACCACTCTAATGGCAGAAAGCGAAGAGGAACTAAAGAGCCTCTTGAGCGGGTGAAGAAGGAGAGTGCAAAAGTTGGCTTGAAACTCAACATTAAGAAAACTAAGATCATGGCATCTGGCCCTCTCAATTCCTGCAAATAGATGGGGAAGAAATGGAGGTAGTGACAGATTTTATTTTCCTGGGCTCCAAGATAACTGCAGATGGGGACTGCAGCCAAGAAATTAAAAAACACTTGCTCCTGGGGAGGAAAGCTATGGCAAATCTAGACAGCATACTAAAAAGCAGAGACATCACCCTGCCAACAAAAGTGCATATAGTCAAGGCGATGGTTTTCCCAGTTGCAATGTATGGCTGTGAAAGTTGGACCATAAGGAAGGCTGAGCATCAAAGAATTGAGGCCTTTGAACTATGGTGCTGGAAAAGACTCCTGCGAGTCCCTTGGACTGCAAGACGAACAAACTGGTCAGTCTTAGAGGAGATCAACCCTGACTGCTTCTTAGAAGGTTAGATCCTGAAGATGAAACTGAAATACTTTGGCCACCAAATGAGAAGGAAGGACTCACTGGAGAAGAGCCTAATGCTGGGAAAGATTGAGGGCAAAAGAAGAAGGGGACGAGAGAGAATTAGGTGGCTGGATGGAGTCACTGAAGCAGTAGACGTGAGCTTACCATCCAGAGGATGGTAGAGGACAGGAAGGCCTGGAGGAATGTTGTCCATGGGTTCATGATGGGTCGGACACAACTTTGCAACTAACAACAGTACTTTAAAAGTCATTGTCATATGGAATAATCAAATCTTCAATAACTTAAAGTTTCGTTATGTGCTTTCACTAAGCAAAATTAGTCTCTAATGCTGGAATCCAAGCTGCAGATGACTGCAATTCTCATTCTAGTTGTATAGACCAGGTAATCATTTTCAACCTATCAATCCCCACCAGTAGCCAAATCCTTAAGGCAAGGCAGGAAGATAAGCATGACTCATAATGCCATGTTAAAGTTTGTACTTTGGCATAGTTTTTGGAATGCAGAATGCCTGTGTATGACATCATTTGCTAGGGTGTGCTCTTCTTATAAACAGCTAAGTTGGCCTGCACTGCAAATATATGCAGTAATTACCAAGAAAAAGATCATGGACACAGCCACTTTTTTATAGGTGCTTCAGGCAATATATGTACATACTATACTATACTATACTATACTATACTATATACTATAAAAGATAAAACATCTTTATATTTTCAATTTAGGATTCTAGCTAATATATCTGGCTAGATATATGAAACAGATCAAGATCAAGTTTAATTGGTATGTCTTTGCAGGTTTTTGAAATCAACATGCTTTAAAGCTGCCTGATTCCAAACTGAACTATTGATCCTTCTGAGCCAGTATTCACATAAGAGTCATTTTACATCTTTTGCATGTACAAAATGTGATCTACTAAACGTGGGTGCTAAGTAATAAAGGAAAGAAAAGGGATGACATGTTCAGGTGTTCTAACTGAATTACAGGTCATTTGTCCCTGGAAAAACAAAATGTCCCTTTGTAGATCAGAATGTGTTAAACCCATGTGAGGCATTTTGAACAGAAGAGCAATCCATTAGGAAAATTACCTATCTCTTATTTTTCTTTGTATTCTTTCTTCAAAATCATATCCATATAAAAGTTTCTTACATGTATATTATATACATCTAGCATATTATACATTTTAAAATCTTAACTGCCTAGATTGGTATGTCTTGTGATATCAAATTTAAATGAAAAGGCTTTAAGTGGTTTTTGAAAATTAGTGTTGGTTCTTCTTTTCTAAAGCCAATTGCTAGGGGAAGTATTCGCAGCATTAGTAGTAATATAAATTAACCTTTTTGCTTTGAAATGCAGTTCCGCGTTAGAAAAAAATTGAATGCATATTTACTAATTGTATAACACATATTGGTAAAGGTCAGCATGAGATCATTGCTTGGTTGGAGTCAAAAGCGCAAGGAGATGGCCTTGTGCAATCTCCTTTAACTTGTATCTGATATGTTCTTTGGGAGTAACCAGATGTTTCTCATTTGCTGTTAGAACAGGCAGGAAAGGAGAACAACTGAAGCTTGCATCCCCACCCTTTTATACAGGTGCCAACAAGTAATGGACTCATTGACATGAAGTTTGCTTGGATGACTCTACAAAACACATTGTTGGGAGACTCTTTGACTTCCACGTCTGGCTAGAAGGTTATCTGCACCTGGAAAAAAGAAGAGCTTGAAAATTGTATTTATCTACCTAGATAATACTTCTAGCTTCAGTATTCTTGTGCTGGAATGAAAGACCAATCACAAGCATATAAGATTGTCTCACAATGAATCAGACAAATGCTGTATCTGCATTTACAAGCTTTGTTCCCCTACTAATGATTGTTCTTTGTAGAAAAGGCAGGTTATAGATTAACTTGAAATAATGATAGTAGATGTTCTAATAGAAATGGTAATAGGGTTTTACAACTCCCAGCATTCTTAGCCATATTTCTGCCATGTCGGGGAAATGCCATACTATAGAAGGCTGATCTATGTACCAGCAGTTATGATGACCATTAATCTCTGCCAGTCTGACCAACTGTCAATGCTAATGCGTATGATCCAAAATCTCTGTAAGGTTAGAGCTTCTTTCTTTCTTGGTCTGTCTTCAGTAGACAATCCAGTACCCCTTCTCTGCTTTGAAACTACTCCCGCTGCCACTGTCATTTTCACAGCCCCAGCAAGCATGGCCATGGATGATGATAATTGAAATGCAGAACATTTATTTATTATTCGATTTTAATCCCACCATATATTACTGATATATGATTAGTATAGTATGGTATGGTGTGGTGTGGTGTGGTGTGGTGTGGTGTGTGGTATGGTGTATGGTATGGTATGGTATGGTATGGTATGGTATGGTATGGTATGGTATGGTATGGTATGGTATGGTATGGTATGTATAGTATAGTATAGTATAGTATAGGTATAGTATAGTATAGTATAGTATAGTATAGTATAGTATAGTATAGTATAGTAATAGCAATAGCAATAGCAATAGCAATAGCAATAGCAATAGCAATAGCAGTATACTAATGTAAAGGAATGCAATGCAACGCAACGCAACGCAACGCAACGCAATATAATACAATTGTATCGGGTATCTGGTTCTGAAGGAACTGGCAGATGAGATCTCAGAACCACTGAACTATATCTTTCAAAGATCCTGGAGCACAGGGGAACTGCCAGAGGATTGGAAAAGAGCTGATGTAGTTTCCATCTTCAAAAAAGGAAAAAAAATAGATCCAGGAAACTACAGACCTATCAGCCTGATCTCAATACCAGCAAAGATTCTGGAAAAGATAATCAAACAATGAATCACCGAACACCTAGAAGCAAACCAAGTAATAACCAAAAGCCAACATGGGTTTGTCAAAAACAGATCATGCCAGACTAATCTTATTGCATTCTTTGACAAAGTGACAAAATTAGTGGACCAGAGGAATGCTGTCAATATAATTTACTTGGATTTTAGTAAAGCATTTGATAAAGTAGACCATAACCTACTACTAGATAAAGTAGAAAAGTGTGGGTTAGACAGCATCACCGCCAGATGGATTCATAGCTGGTTGACCAACCGTACTCAACGTGTAGTCCTCAATGGAACTGCATCTCCATGGAGGCAAGCATCCAGGACTCTGTTTTAGGCCCAGTGCTCTTCAACAACTGCATCGATGACTTGGACGAGGGGATAGATGGGGAGCTCATCAAATTTGCAGATGACACCAAGCTGGCAGGAATAGCCAACACTCCAGAAGATAGGCTCAAGATACAGAAGGATCTTGACAGAATTGAACATTGGGTGCTATCTAACAAAATGAAATTCAACAGTGAAAAAAGCAAGGTTCTACATTTAGGGAAGAAAAACAAAATGCACAGGTACCGTATATGTGGTACCTTGCTCAATAGTAGTAACTGTGAGAGGGGTCTTGGAGTCCTAGTGGACAACCATTTAGATATGAGCCAGCAGTGTGCAGCAGCTGCCAAAAAAGCCAACACAGTTCTGGGCTGCATAAACAGAGGGATAGAATCAAGATCACGTGAAGTGTTAATACTACTTTATAATGCCTTGGTAAGGCCACGCTTGGAATATTGCATTCAGTTTTGGTCGCCACAATGTAAAAAAGATGTTGAGACTCTAGAAAGAGTCTAGAGAAGAGTATCAAAGATGATTAGGGGACTGGAGACTAAAACATATGAAGAATGGTAGCAGGAACTGGGTATGTCTAGTTTAATGAAAAGAAGGACTAGAGGAGACATGATAGCAGTGTTTCAATATCTCAGGGATTGCCACTAAAATGAGGGAGTCAAACTATTCTCCAAAGCACCTGAGGGTAGAACAAGAAGCAATGGGTGGAAACTAATCAAGGAGAGAAGAACTAAGAAGAAATTTCCTGGCAGTTAGAACAATTAATCAGTGGAACAACTTGCCTCCAGAAGTTGTGAATGCCCCAACACTGGAAATTTTTAAGAAGACGTTGGATAACCATTTGTCTGAAGTGGTGTAGGGTTTCCTGCCTGGGCAGGGGGTTGACTAGAAGACCTCCAAGGTCCCTTCCAACTCTGTTATTCTATTCTATTCTACAATGGGTGGTTTGCATCTTCTTCAATCTCAAGCCCTCTACCAGAGGCCTGCAAGTTTGAGGGTTCAGTGCAATATCTTAGCTGTTCTCTGCCCTCTTCTTGACAGAAATGTCTGATGTTTTTCCTGGGATCTATTGGAGCCACTCTCCCAACTTAGGAATCACAGCTCTGAGTGCTCCTACCACCACTGGGACAAGTTTGGCTCTACTTTCCACATCCTCTCCAGTATTCCATCAGGTCCTGGTACTTCACTCCTAATATCCTATATAATTTTTTCTTCTTGAACACTAAGATTTCTAGCATTCTTTTTCACACGGGACTTTTCATCAATTCCACAAGTAAATCTCTCATCCCTCTTGTATTCATCATATGAAAGGCATATTTTCCCAAGGCTTCTATCACGTTAGTTCATTTGTTAATTTTGATTGCCCCTCCCCACCTATGTGCTGCTGGTTATAAGGTATTGACATGCATTAAGTACTAGTATTCAAAATCTGCTTTTATATATCTGTTGCTTTGTAAATGTAGTAAAGAAATTTATATACTGTCTATGGAGAATGATTTAGGACTGTTGAACCTAAAGGGTTCTAATTGATTTTGTGACTCTTGCGATTCGTCTTATTTTCTCTTGTTGTTTTTACCAGACATAAAATATATTGAAATGTCACCAAGCAAAACCAAGTATCAAGAGTCTTGGCAGAGCTCAAGAAGTCCTTCCAGCACTCCATTTTCTGTGTCTTCCCCAAACCGGGGTCATTTATTTCCACGTGGAGGCAACCTTGGCTATAACTGCGATGCCGTTGGTAATATTTCTGGCAGTGCACAGCATTTCTCCCCTACAGGAAGGCAGTCACCAACTTGCATCCAAGTATCAGAGAGTATCTCCATTCCACAACGAGATCAGAAGAACTTTGCATCCTATGGTTCAAATTCTTCCCTAGCTTCCTCTCCGGGCATCCTGCAGCTCAGGAGGATGGCACAACGATGCAGTGAGGCATCAATGCTTTCAACAAGTCCTGGGTCAGACACCAGTTACATTTTTGGAAGGTAAATGCACTATATAAAAGGGATTATCCTGTGTGATTATTTTATGTTTCTCTGTAATTAAGTATCATTGCCTGAGCTACTTTGCAGTTGCTGGCTTACAAGAAGACTATCAGGCAGGAAGGAGGAAGAAAAAATGTATAGCAATGATGGCAGGAGAAAATGGTAGCAATGATGAAAAACTCAGTCAGAGCAGAATAGTGCTGTGAACAGACACCTTGGCCTGGTCACACTACCTCTAATCCAGCAACAATTGTGCACATTTAAAGATGGTGGCTGGAAAAGATGACTCAGAACTGGGAAGTGACAGGAGAAAGTAGGTTTCACCTATTGACTTATTTGGTTAGAGAAGGTGTATTTCAAGGCAGCTGCTATGTTATTTTGTTTGGGCATAGCCAAAATTTTTAGTTCCTCTGCATCCCTCACTATGTCAAAATAACTAAGAATCAGTTTTATAAAATCAAGGTTAGGAAATGCCAAGAGCCAAATCAATACATACCTAAGCAAATCCACTAGTGCACCAAATATCTGCTGCTTAAATCCAGCAGAAAGATCTTAGAGTTGGAGGGACCACATAGACCACTGAATCCAGATGCCTATTTGGTTCTATTAATTCTGTTCACGTGCCTTCTCCTTCGGAAGGTTGATGGCCAGAAATCCCACTTTGTCCGCATTGACTATGGAATAGAAATATGTGGTTAAAGCCTAGATCACTTGCACATTCTATCATTGGCCAAATCCAGGTTGGTTCATCAGTTTTAGACCTGTTTTTCTCATCCCAGGACAAGAGAGTGCTTAGAGACTCATTTGCGCAACTTGCTATTGAACACATTTTTTGTTTCCTGTACTGAGTTATTTAGTCTTCATAGAAGACCATAGTGCCTATTACAGCAGAGTCTTTAGAAAAGGTCCCAGGAAGTAAATCAGAAACATAAATTTGACTTTCCACACTGGATTCAATGCAGGAATTCAAATAAAGGCATTCCCTGTAGATTTAGTGAGCATATCCACTGCGGAGGAGCATATCCACTTCTCTAGGAATTTATTTCTACAGCCAAACACTTCAACTGTTTGGGTTTCTTTCCTAATGTCCAAGTGGAATCTGCCTTCCTATAACCTAAGACCATTATTTGGTTTCTCGCATTCTGGAATAATACAAACTATATGTTTTCTTGATATATTTTCCTGCTTGAGCGGAGGGGGGCTGGACTAGAAGACCTCCAAGGTCCCTTCCAGCTCTATTCTGATTGATTCTGATTGATTGATGATGCCCCATTAGTTGAGGAATATTGTCAAAATGTGCCCTCTCCAAAGAAATATCATCTACCTCCAGTTGTTTCCATTTAGAATTTTGAAAAGATGGGTGTTTAAAGAAAGCACCACTAAATAGCTGGTCACGGGAAGATGGAACAGTGGTTTTATCTAGATGAGCTTCTATTATTCTTTTAGACATGTTTAGCAAAACTGGGCACTACTAGAGAGTTCTAAAATCTTGTGTAGTGTACCTAGCATGCATGATTTGCTCCCATATGAATATTTGGAACTAACAATAGTACAACCCTAGTCTTCTCTAACTATTTTTGTACTTTTTGTTTCTTTTTTGCAGCAGCAGCAGCCAGTCATTGTCCAACCATGAATCTGACACACCTCTAACTAGGTCAATAGGAAGTCCCTCCTCTGTTGAATCCCTGACAGGGAGTTATGTTACATCCAACAGCCCTGGTTCTTCCTACCCCAGAGCCACATGCTCCCAGAAACAGAATTCTCCTCTAACTCAGCCATACCAGAAAGGACAAACCCATACCTACACCCACTCTCTTTCATCTGTTACAAACTCCCCACTCCCAATCCCTATAGTGCTCATCAATGGTCTCCCAGAAGAGAGTGTGACAGCTACTCAACTTTCCAGGGGCTGCTCCAGTTCCTTCAAAGATAAGATGCCTAAGACCAATTCCAGCAGTTTTTCAGGAGTTAATGGTTTAAACAATTCCTATTCTGACAACTCAGGTTCCTCCACTTCATCTCTGGATGGTAAGTTGTTCCATCCCTATGGCTTCTTTATTTCCAATTGGGCTGCAAATGAATCTTTTATTTGAAAAATTGGAAAGGAATACAACTTTTTGGAACAAACAACCTTTCCCAGATCATGTAATAGGTGGTTCACACAATCTAAATTGCAATTCCTTCCCCAGCCAACATGGATGATGGTAAGAATTCTGGAAGCTGAGGTCTACATAACTAAAAAGTACCAATCTAGAGGATGGGTGAAATAAAATTTTCCTGCTGTGAGTAGTAGAGGAAATAATTCAAACTAAAAATGGCAGTGTGCCTGCTCATTCAAAAATCAGGGAATAAGGCCAATCTGTATATTATCCAAGCAAAGCATCTGTACAATCAGCCTGCTTAAATTTCCTAAATTGACCACATATTCCCTATTTGTTAATTCACTACCCTCCCTCCTCTTCGCCTGTGGGCCTTTTGAAATATTTCAAGAAACCTAGTGAGAGAAAAAGCACAAATCAAGATGAAGTAAATTCATTTCAATGCCCTTTTTCCTTGTATCTTCCATCTGACAATCATCTTGACAAGGAAGCTAACGGGGAATACCAGTATCAGAAATGGACTTCCTTTGCTTTCTCGTTCTCATACATACTTCTCTCTGCTACCATCTGAACAATATTACCCCAATCAAGGAGGAAGGGGTAGTTGCAGACTTGCAGTTTCAGTCTGTATCCTCTTTCCAGAAAGTAGGACTATCAGAAAAACAAAGTGGCTGATCAGGGACATCCAATCAATAATTCATCCAGAATGGCATATTGTTGCTTAACAGTAGCCAGATGTTCTAGGAAAACACTCTGTTAATATTAAATCCTGACATGTAATATTGGGGTTTTGAATGTTTGCTAGGAAATCTAATTAAACAGTGTTTACTTTTGAGGGAGAGGAGGGCAGTACAAAATCCAGAAGCTGGGTCCAAGACAGAAAAATTGATTTAAAATGCTGGCATGCGATTTAAGGAGATTCAGTTTGCGGATTCATTATGAATATGAAAGTTGTGTTTTTAGCTATCACAACTAAGCAGTCTCTTTTAAAATTAGTTGTGTCACCATGTAAAAGAAAAAAAACTTTTCTAGCCTTATAAAAAACCAGTATGATGACAGCTACCCTCTGAACATTCGCAAAGGACATTAAAAAAAAATCCCTCAAAATGAAAGCTGTAAAGAAGCGATGGAGCAATCGTATGTGCAATGTATGTAAACATAGAGTATGGTTTTCATTGAACCATCTATTCATTGAACCATCTTGATTTTTAAACCCTTCCCCAGATACCTGTGTGTTAATTGCAAAAGAAAATCAAAGGAATTTCAATTAAGTCATTTCTAACTTACTGTCTGGACTTCAGTGAACCTAGGATCACTGGGAATTTGGAAGGATTTGGATGTCTGCCATTATCTCAGTGTGGTCCATCCATCTCAGTATTTGTAGACTGAAACGGATGGAAAACAGTGAGATAATCTCTTTTTCCACTCCAGCTTCTTTTATTTTATAAAACCTCCCTTATATGCAGATTCTTTTCTAAAATTAAAAAAACCCTCCATGATAAAAAAAAAAATCTTTCTGATTGTTCTAACCACTTTTCCTTAACCTTTTTTTTTTAACTTAGATATATATATATGACTCTTTTTTTTCATGCAGGGTATTCCAAAGAAGCCCAGACAACTATGAAGTTTGTGATGGATACCTCTAAATATTGGTTCAAACCCAGCATCACAAGAGACCAAGGTAATCTAAGGAACAGCAGGCAACAATATACAAAATGAAGGCAAGGCAAGAAAGCTAAAAGACTAAAAATGTGACCTGATTCAGACACAGAGATAAATATGATAGTTATATGAATGAGCTGCATGAGCTGATATCTCTTCCCATCTCTGAGGAAAGAATTTTATTAGTTTTTATGGATCCATAGTATTGTCCAGCTTTTTAATACATATCATTCCCCTTGGAAAGCAGGCTAGAGATACTTACTTCCAAGATCCATTTCAGAAAAAAAGAAGTTGCTGGCAGCTCCATTAAAGGCTTTGCTTTACAGTATTGGACTAAACAGTGCTAATAAACATGCTTTGGGGGGAAAACAAAAAAGGGATGACAATTCTGTCCTTTCAAGGCTGTTGTTGTTAAATGATACATCTTGCTGGGATGGCCCACAGGATCCTTGGAGAGCACTTAAGTCACAATTTCAAATCCAACAACCATCTTTTGACTTCTTCACCATAGGTGTGGTTCAAGTACACACTGAACCATTCCTTTATCTTTCTTCTAGGAGCACATGTTAGTATTTGAAAGGGAGACTTCCAAGCTTGCTTCTGATGTAAAAAAAAAGGGGGGGGCAGAAATTGTAGTTGCAGGAGAGAAAAAAACAACCAATAGAAGTCGGCTTCCATGTGCTTTTTCTCCCTTTATTTTTATACTTTTTCTACCCATTTTCTTCATTTGGCTCAGAATATGGGTGTAGTGAAAAGGATAGTGGGGAAAGAGTTATACACCAAAATAATTTCAGAGAAGTGTGTTTAAAAGAGATTTCTTCAAGCATTTGGGTACAATAGGAAAGTTGTGCACAAATGCTCCATATAAGATATCAACAAAATTTGGTGTAATTTTTTAACTGATCTATTAAACTAAAGTCTGTAAAAAAAAAACCTGAATCAATTCCATATAGATACAGAAAGGAACCAGATTTATATTGATTTACATCTCCATTCTGGAGAAGAGTCAACTTGCAGAATGAAGCGATAAAAGGATTTAATCCTTTCCCTCCCTTCCTCATTAGGAACATGGAAGCTTCTGGAAATGTAAATGAATGTTTGGAGCATTAAAAAATTGGTAGAGTTATTAGATGAGACAAAACAAATGTCTCTCAGTTACTTTTCCTTGCCTTGATTTACTAACTATTTATCTACCTATTTACCTACCTTATTTTGAGGTAGGTTTGAAATTTTGAAATTCCAAACTTTGGAACAACTTATTTCTGTACCCTGTTTCCCCTAAAATAAGACATCCCCTGATAATAAGCCCAATCAGGCTTTTGAGTGCATGCACTAAAATAAGCCCTCCCCGAAAATATTTAAACACATGCGCAGCCAGTCCCCGCCATTTCCTCTGGTTAGGGTTAGGGAGACAGAGCTGGAACTCAGGTAAGATGGCAAGAGGAGCCCATCTTGCTCCATGCACCCCAAAGTAATAAGGCATCCCTGAAAATAAGGCCAAGCACTTATTTTGGGGTAAAAAAAAATATCAGGCAGGGTCTTATTTTCAGGGAAACACTGTAGTACGATGTAAGTTTCAGCCTTACGTATAGGTATTTGCTGCATTCAAATTGAGTTGATACCACTGCTCAAAATAATTATACCATTTGTCATCTACTTTCTTATTTGTAAAACAAAGTTCCATTGATAAAGACTGGTATCCAATCACACTCCCCTGCCCTGACATTTTAAGAGATGTTGTCTATATAGCTACTATTTGCTCACAGCTATTGTTTAAGCTTTTGTTGCACATATTCATGCTAAATATGGCATTTTATTTGTTCTTTCTGATAATTCCCACAATTTTCTTTTGTGAGATGGACTCTACATACGAAGCCAGTAGTACCAGGCCATACCTGGAAAAGGAAATTTTTCCCAGATATGGTTCTGGTACTACTGGTTTTATATGTAGCTGGTTTATTCCTGTGGGTCTCTGAAAGGGAGAGCTTGCAAACTGATGAGCATAAAATAGATCAAGATATGCAATATGATTGAGGAGCAGACAGTATTTGCTCCCTAGGACCTTCAAGCTGCTCAATTCTTTCAGATATAGAGCCTTTTTAGTCTTATCTCAGGTACCGAAGAGCAAAGAGACTGAGCTGTAAATCAAAAAGCTGCCGAATCCAATCTGGCCTCTGTGTAACTTGGTCAAATAGCCTTAAGTAAGCCATTATCACTCTTTGCAACATATGACCACAATATTGGTTTACTTTGAAGGTTGCCAGCTAAGTAGCACACATGAAGTGCTTTGAACACAGAAAACAGTGTTTGCAAAAGATACAAATGCTTATTAATCTCTCTTTATTTTTTGATATGTTGACACTTTGTTCTTTGGGTATATATCTTAACAGCTATCCAACTGCTAATGGACGAGCCACCGGGTACATTTATTATGAGGGACAGCACATCTTATCCTGGCTCATTTGGCTTAGCCCTGAAAGTCTTCAGCAACAAAGCAGGTACTCAGAATTCCTGCTTCGAACTGCAAAAAGGTGATAATAGAGAGGGGCCAAAAGCAGCCTTCTCTTACCTGATGCTTTCCAGATGTATTTTACTATAAATTGTAGAATTCCCAAGCAGAGGGCCAGTTGGCTGGGAAGTCTGGAAGTTGCAGCTCCAGTATATTTGGAGGGCACTACATTGAGAAAACCTGCTCTGGTGCCAAACTGCAGAAACCCCTCTTAAGGGATTCTTTATCTTCCACCTGCATGTTCCCAGTCTGAATACTGATGAGACCTAAAAAGGAAGGGAAAGATAGCAGACTCCCAAAAATTTCACAGTTGCAGTGTTGGAAAACAAGAGAGGCTACTGACTCTCGCAGAGAGGCAGCACATTTACTTCTCCTAAAGACTGATGATGCAACTGCAGCTAATGCAGAGAGGTGATAGTTCCCTGCATGGCCAAAAGCTCCAAACTCATGGCTGTAGTTAATCATTCAACATATTGCTCACTGCATGTTCCCAGTTGCCTTGTGGCACACAGTTAAGGAAATTCTGCAAAAATGAAAAACAGAGCTCTATAATTGGTAGAGCACAGCATCTCCATAAAAGCAACCAATCGTCATTACATCTTTTAGAAATCAAAACCGAACAAATCTCAAGTTTTTTCACACAGGAAAGCAATGTTGGGGGAAAACCCAGAGGGTAAACCAGCAGAGAAGTGAAAGAGGAGAGGAGAGATGACTGATGAGGCGTCCAAAGGAACTGCGAACAAATAAAAAAGAAAAACAATAGAAAGTTGGCAAATAGCTATATTCAGAGTCTTTCTGAGTCAAGGGCAGTGTGAAATTCAAGTCAGAGGAAACTTAGTTTCTCACATTGGAAGCAACCTGCAAGATGTCGCAGGGGAAATGAAACAGAAACAAAGCAAACCTAATGTACTGGAGCCTGTCCATGCAAGGATTTCAGGGTAAAGTACTTGCAAGCCAGGACAAGCAAGCTTTCTGTGACTTCAGCATGGATCAGCTTCAGGGAGGGGAATGCAGCTGAAGGGAAATATAACTTCTCTATTAATTAACTATGTGTGCCCCAGTTGGGTTATGAAGCACAGAAGAGATGGAAGTTAATGATCATTAAGAGGAGTGGAGCAGAATGTTCCATGTCATTCTACACAACTTTGAGTTTCTCCAATTTGGCTCAAATAGAAAATTTTGCTGGGTGGCGGAAATAATATATTTAAAACAGAAGAAAGCAGTGAGAAATTGAAAATAATGTGATCAAATATTGCAAGCTTTGTTTTAGTGTTAAAAAATTAATATTTATTTCTATTATTAAAAAAACACTAGAGTAAAACTGTGCCATGCCACATTGATGCCTTCTAAATATATTCAGTTATAATTCCCATTAGTCCTACTCAGCCTGGTCATTGGGAATTATGGAATTTGTATTCCAACCCATCTGAGGACTCTGTGCTGGAAAAGGCTGCAAAAATGCACATATCCCTGTACACAGAGAGAGGAAATATAGGTTAAAGAATATCTGCTCATTTGCTTCTTCCCAATTTTGTTTGGTTTGCATTGCATTTGCAGGCCAAAAACAATATTTTCTCTGTGATTGTTTGTATGGGTGAACTTTGTAGAAGGCATTTTCTGTTGTTGTCGTATTCTGAAAAGGTTCATGATTGTGATAAAGATCAGGAGTGTCATTTTGGCTCCAAATTCTATTGTTTATGTAAATTATATTGTTATGTTTAGGACTCCAACTCATCATTAGCTTTCATTTGAAATTCAATCCAATTCTCACATTACTGAATTTGCAATCACATAATATTTCTTTAAGTAGAGGATTTTAGGCCCATGAATTGCTGAGAGACTGTGCAACCCGTTTCATGAGACATTGAGTTTAGTTTTTTAAAGTTTTAACTTTCACATCTCTGGAAGAATTCCACTCTGAGTCCATCACTGATTTATATTCAGAAACACTTTGTTTCATGAGCTGAAACTATTCTCAAAACAATTCTGCTCCTTCATCTGGTTTCGATTTATAACAAAGAATTTCCATAGAATTAAAAGTTGATAAAAGCATCGGAAAATCAGAAAAAAAATATGTGTGTTACCTATTTCTGTATACAAAACTGGGTTCAGGAATTATGTCTTCATTGTCACATATCATAGCCAACATTAAACATAAACAGAATCAAAATCAGAATTAGAGAGAAAGAGTTGAATAAAGCCTTTAAAAATCCAATTTTAAAGCTCTTTGGAAAGCTTCCAATGGAAGGTATTGATTTTTTATAGGTTGCATTTCAGTTTGTTTTGTTTTGCTTTAAAGGAGAAGATGCTGGTAACCACATTAGACACTTCCTCATTGAGTCTTCTCCCAAAGGAGTGCATCTTAAGGGCACGGAAGAAGAACCCTATTTTGGTAAGATTGTTCATCTAGTTGGTTTCAGCTACTTATGCTTAAGCTGTGACTGTCATATATTCATGCATATAGTTATTAGCTGAGGTTGCAATTAGCTGAGGTTGAGGCGGTTGCATCTTAGTTGCTTTTTGCTCCTAAAAAAGTGCCCTTCCCATTTAATTCAGCAAGGTAAAGGGAAAAGTTTTCCCTTTCTAGTCGTGTCCAAATCTAAGGGGCACTATTCATTTTCATTTCTTAGCCAGCAATCATGTGACTGTATGCTGATGTGTATGGAACACTGTTACTTTTCCAGCAAAGTGGTACCTATTTATCTACTCACATGTGCATGCTTTCAAACTGCTAGATGGGAGAAGCAACTGGAGCTCAGGCAGCACTCAGGTCTCAAACCTGGGCTGTCAGCTTTCCAGCTGACTAGTTCAGCATCTTTAACTATTGAGCCATCATGCACATGCACACCTCTTTGAAATAAACTCAGCCTTCTATTTCAATTAAATGGGACCAGGTATCTATGGAAAGTCATAAATGTGACAGTCTTGTCACATTTCTACAATTCTACATAGTCTACAATTCTAGAATCAATAAACAGAGAGGCACACTACATGAGATATCTTACCTTTTACTAGTAATGTCTTATGGGGGAAGAACAGGTAATCTTTTCCATCTCTTCCTTTATCTTGAAAAGTGAATCTTACCATTTCAGATTGGATCTCTGATATGCAGCTGGTTTATTCAAAAACCAGTGTAGCTTCTTAAAAATCCTCCTGAAAGTTGGTATGGGAGAAACATTTTCTAAAGCATCAGAAATGCACACATTGTGCAAAGGATCTTTTCCTAATATGTGTAAACTTTTGTATAAACCTTCCCCTTATACATTGATTTTGTTATACACATCTTTTTTAAAAAAAGTATGGGCTTTTGCAAAATTTAATAAAAATATAGTGTTTTACAGAGTGCGTTCTAGTTTGGGATTAGATTTAGCAAGTGAATTTGCATCAATCTTTTTACCATTTTCATTCATCCGTTATCATTCTATTCAAAGTAACAAGGGAGGGAGGGAGCATCCAAATAATGGAAAACCACCACCACTTCAAGAATTGCCTTCCTGTTACTCAAAATCTCGCACCCCATTCTTTTCAGACCCACAAATGTGTCTGTTGGTCTCATAAATCTCCAGTTTCTTACCACTGCTACCCCAGTTGTTGCTGAAAATGAATAATTTAGACATGTAGTGTAGGATGAGAGATAATAATGTGGAATATAGAGATGTTAAGAACACTTTGTACAAACCTCATCCGTTTATTCTTTATTACAGGGAGTCTCTCAGCATTTGTATATCAACACACCATTATGCCATTAGCACTACCCTGCAAACTGATTATTCCTAGCCAAGGTACGTTTAGAATCTTGGACAAAGAGTTCTTGCAAAGATCAGAAGAATAATACACAAATTCTTACAAACCTTATAGATACCAGCCAACAACAATTCCTTTTTAAACCCAAATGTATTTGCGAATGAGTAAAAACCCCAATGAAAAGGATAAGTAAATAACTATTAATGTATTTAAACCGAACTCTGCATCATATTGAAATTGCAGATTTGCAGAGATCTTTCCAGTAGAGGATATGGTTGTGCATCAAGACTTTCATTTAATATGTTTTGTAATGTGATTGTAATTGGTGTGCTGTTATACCTATCTTAGCTTTTCTCAGTGATGAAAATCCAGTCCTTGGTTCAGAAGCTGCTCTTCCTTTGTCCCAGAAAACTGCTGGTGAGTATAATGAGAGTAAGCATTTTTCTTCAATTAACCAGACCATTTTATATCCTAAAGGTTAAGGTAATAAATAACGGCCTGCAGTTTGGTCTACATGTTTTGTCTCCTTTCAGTGTTGTCACTTTTCTATGAAGATGTCATTTTGCTACCATTCAGACCACAAGTTCCTGTATCTACACAGAGATATTTTTTGGGCATGGTGGTTACATAATAGATTTTAATCCTCTGTGGTTTGTGTGTATGTGTGTGGGGGAAAGAGAGGAGAGGGAGGGAGGGAGGGAGGGAGGGAGGGAGGAAGGAAGGAAGGAAGGAAGGAAGGAAGGAAGGAAGGAAGGAAGGAAGTGTTGGAAGAAATGCCCATCTGGGTTTAGTTCCAAGTGGGGAAAAAGACACTGGAAACATGGAGACTGCTTGGAAAGATGGTTTAATGATGGACAGGAATCACATGGTTTGAGTTCCTGAACAGGAGCACATGGCTTGTAGCTTGAGGCTTGAGCTCCTGAGCAGAATCACATGGCTTGAGTTCCTGAGTAGAAAACAAAGAAGCCCGAGATGCTGGGACTGCCTTGGTTTTATGCCCTCTGTTGGGCCCCACCTCTGAGTTTCTTGTTCTTGTATAAGAAATGTATCCTGATTGGTTGTCAAACTCCCAGGTGGTCTAGGGGTCTCAGCTAACTTTGTAGGTTGTCTCTCAAGCTTGTTTGAGTCTTGCCATGTGGTGAGTTTCTGTTGCTAAATGGGTCCTATTCAGGGGTGGGTTTTAAAATTTTTTACTACTGGTTCTGTGGGTGTGGCTTATTTTGTGGGTGTGGCTTGATGGTCATGTGACAATTCTTTAGGATTTAGCAGAGGTACTGGTCTACCAGGCTTTTAACTGCTTGCAGAGCTGTACTGGTCTACTTATTTGTTTTTGGAGGCACCGGTCTACCCATTTGTTTTTGGAGGCACTGGTCTACTCATTTGTTTTTGCAGGCCCTGATCTACTCATGTATTTTTGCAGGCACTGATTTACACATGTATTTTTGCAGGCACTGGTCTACCCATTTGTTTTCTTTTAACACTGATCAGCTGTAAGGCGGCCCTTTGAAGCCCGCGGCAAGAGTTTAAATAGTTTTTTTCCTTCTAGCCAATCAACTGGGACTCAGGAGGGAGCAATAGATTGGGGGTGGGGCCAAATAAAAGGTAAGAATAACGTGGGGGAGGCGGGGGACAGAACCGGTTCGGTGATGTCATATCGTCACCGCTACCGGCTCGGCAGAACCAAGGCGAACCGAGAGGAACCCACCACTGATATAAAGTATATACTCATTCTTGTTCCATCACTGCAATTTTAACAACTTGGCTGGCAACATCTTTGTTTTCTTGGGTCGTCTCTTAACGTAACCTTCATTTCATGCCCAGCTCATGAATGAAGCAACCTTAGGGCTACCTCACAAGTTTTAATGTTTTCTTCCAGCATCAAGGGGAGTAAAATTTGTTACACTCTTATCATTCATTACTTAATACCTCAGTACAGATAAGTCTTCAACTTATGACCGCAATGGGGCCCAAAATTTATGTTGCTAAGTGAGACATTTGTTAACTTAGTTTTGCCCCATTTTATGACCTTTTTTACCACAGTTGTTAAGTGAATCATTGCAGTTATTAAATTAATAACACTGTTGTTAAGTGAATCCGGCTTGCCCATTGACTTTGCCTGTTAGAAGGTCACAAAAGGTGATTACATGATCCCAGAGACATGAATATGAACCAGTTGCCAAGCATCCCAATTTTGATCACATGACCATGGAGATGCTACAACACTCATAAGTGTGGAAAACTATCATAACTCATTTTTTTCAATGCTGTTGTAACTTTGAATGGTCAGTAAATGAACTGTTGTCAGTCAAAGACTAACCTGTACAGAATTCAGGCATGTATTAAACAATGTTTTCAAGATAAGATTCATATCAGCAATGGGAATTGCAAACTTCATGCCCATATATACTGTATATATATGCTTTAATATCATTTTGTCTCTTCTTGTGCTTCTTTCCTAGTCCCTTTCTATGGCTCTAATCCCCTGATTTGTTCTAGATCTCTTCTTTTGCTTCTTTCGGTATTTCTGTCATATGCTCTTGTTTTGTTATCTATCAAAACTTCTCACAGCCATGGGGGCATCCCCTGAGTGCCATTGCAGCATCCTGTGAGAATTTACAGCTGCTACAAAGCACATCAGATTTGTAATTAATACAAATTTTTATCTAATCTCACTTACCACAAAAGCTTGCTAAGGCTGCTTCCTGGTTCAAATGATGAAGACATAAATTCTGACAAGCGAGGAACATATTTTGATGATCATTTAGTTTTTCAGGATTGCTGTTGTTGATGTTTTTGCAAAAGCTCATAATTACTTTTGTGAACAGGGTTTTTAAAAAATGAGAAAATGAACCCTGTTAAGTTTTATATGTAAATGTTTTGTTTCCATTATAATTTTTCATATCACTCTTAATAATGTTCAGATAGTACTGCAATTCAGTGTCTATATATATTTAATTGTAGTTAAGAAAATATATACATTTTTAAAAACCATGGCAAGATGAAGCGGAAAGGAGCTCAAGAACTTGTAGCCATTGCTAACTTCCAGACTTTTAAGGTGCCAGAAATCAAAAACCTTACAACAATGGCAGAGGCAAATGCAAATGGGGTACTTTCACTACTGCATCTGTGTAAGATTATGCAGCAAAATTTTTATGAGTAGCCAAAAATATGATGATATGATCACAAAGAATGTTAATCAACACTCCACTCTCTTCCGAAGCACATATTAGTTCCTTCTAATTGAAATCCAATATCTTCTCTCCTGTCCTCTCCTTAGTTAAAAAAAATGATTTGGGATGTTATTTTTTTTTTAAAAAAGCTATCATAATTACAGTTCCAAATAAAGCTTCATTCTATCCAATGTGATCTGGTAAAATGTGAATTTGTTTGATTAAACAAACAAATCTCCAGCCTGCCTTCTGCTTTTTCACATGTTTTATTGTATTTTTTAAATATACTATGCAATCTTAGTGTAGAAATAGACCAGGGGTGTCAAACTCAAGGCCTGGGGGCCAGATCCAGCCTGCGGGGTGCTTAGATGTGGCCTGTGGGGCTGTCCTAGAAACAACAAAGGACCGGCCCGTGGTGCCTCTACCAGCAAAAACAGAGCTCAGGAGGGCCACATGCGGCCCTCCCAGGCTCCGTTTTCAGCTGCGATGACCTCCTGCCGCCCTCTGCCAGCAAAAACGGAGCTCAAGAGGGCCTCCTGAGCTCTGTTTTCACTGGCAGAGGATGGCAGGAGGCCATCGTAGTTGAAAATGGAGCTTTGGAGCCTGTTTTCACTTGCAGAGTGCTTGGGCTACCACAGATGCCCCTGACATGAGTGATGTCAAGCTGGCCACGCCCACTCTGGCCATGCCCATGTCGGCCCAAGGTCAAACACAACCTGATATGGCCCTCAAAGAAATCGAGTTTGACACTCCTGAAATAGACTTTTGTTTATTTATTTATTTATTTATTTACAAAAATTTATATGCCGCCCTTCTCCCTAAGGACTCAGGGTGGCACACACAGTTAAAAAACATACAATAATAAAAGGAACTATAATTAAAACCAATTAAACCGCAACGAATAAATAATAAAACCCAGGAATCAGAATCAACCCATTTGTTGAAACAGCCAAGTCTTTAGGACTCGACGGAAGGAGCGGAGGTCAGGCGCCGTCCGAAGCTCGGTGGGTAATTCATTCCAGAGGGCAGGAGCGCCCACAGAGAACGCTCTACCCCTGGCCATCGCCAGGCGACATTGTCTGGTCGACAGTACCCTGAGGAGGGCAGCCCTGTGTGAGCGGACAGGACGGTGGGAGGCGGGTAGGAGATGGTCCTGCAGATACCCCAGACCTAAGCCATGTAGGGCTTTAAAGGTAAGTACCAGCACCTTGAAGTGGATCCGGAGGACCACTGGTAACCAGTGCAGCTCGCGTAGGAGAGGTGTTACACGGGAGTAACGGGGAGCTCCCGTAACTACATTATGAGTTAATGTCTCATAACTCTTGATTTCCTTCCATATTTTTCAAAAATGTTTCATGTTTTTTAATTTTTCAATGATAGCCACCAGAAATAACTTTTTTCTTCTTTTTTTGCCCTTTTTGTCTTATAGTATGTAATCTCCTGTATCTGCACTCGGTGACTATGGAAACTCTCACTGGCAAAGCTGCAGTTCAGAAAGCTGTATCTTCCACTTTTGAACAAGAGATACTGCCTACGCCCACCATTGTCCACTTCAAAGTTACTGCACTAGGAATAACTTTGACTGACATCCAGAGAAAGTAAGAAAGATGCCCTGAGGGCAGGGAGCCATTTTCTGTAGCCATCCCTATCAGAAAAAAAGTTCAAATGGAAAAGATGGCATATTTTTTTCAAAATTTATGGGAAAATATATATATATACTTTTGTATGGATGTGCGATGGCTCAGACATTTAAGACCCTGATCTTGTCATCTGGAAAAGTAACAGCCTAGGTTTGAGACCTGAGTGCCATGCAATGGGGCGAGCTCAGTGGTGGGTTGCTCCCATTCGCCCCGGGTTCAGGCGAATTGGTAGTGGCAGTGGCAGTGGCAGGAGGCTCCACCCACCCGCTCAGACATCATCAAAAACGCTCTGCGCATGCACAGAAGCACCCTGTACTTGCAAAGAAAGTGAGTGCACGAGCGCACTACCAATAGCGAACCAATAGCACCGAGATTTGAAATCCACTACTGGGTGAGCTACCGTTACTTGTCCCATCTTCTGCCCACCTAGCAGTTCAAAAGCATGCAAATCAGGGGTGAAATGCTACGGACCGGTTCAGCCAAACCGGTAGCAATGGCGGTGGGTGGTTCAGAGAACCAGTAACGATGGCAGCGCGAGGCTCCGCCCACCCATCCGGTTGTCATTACTTCCTGGTTTTAACCAGGAAGTAAACTTTTTTTTACGTGGGTTTGCGCATGTGCAGGAGGTTTCCACGCTCACGTGACACGCATGTGTGTGTGAGCGAAGCGAGTGCACAAGCACAGCACGTGCACTTCCGAACTGGTAGGGAAGGTAAGTAGATTTCATTCCTGATGCAAATGCGAGTAGATAAAGAGGCATCACTTGGTGGGAAGGTAACATCATTCTGTGTGCCTTGATGTACAATTGTGCTGGCCACATGACCACAGATGTCTCTTCAAACAATGCTGGCTCCCTCAGCTAAGAACGAAGTGAGACATGACTGGGCAAGGGAAATCTTTACCTTTTCCTTTACTTTTGTGTATTTTCCCTGTGAAGGGGCCAGGCTGGTCCGTTGCATCCAAAGTATTTGGTGGAAAGCTGCTCCTTTATAACTCCAGCTCCTATCATTAATATAAGTACAGGTTTTGGGGCCTGGTTCACACACCACATTAACCCAAATGTGATTTGTTTACTTTGGTTTTAGTGCAGCATTTGAGCCCAGCCATTGTCTGCTTTCATGTTGTATATGAAATAGGCCACTATGAATTATTTAGCAATTCATAATTTAAAAATTTTGGCTTGGCACTATATTTGAACACAACGTCTGCCTGAGTCAGTGATCAACTTTATGTGTCATGCTATTATGGCATTTAGGGTTTGCCTTAACTTATATAGACTACAGTCTTGAATAAAGAAATCAGTCATGTTTTATTTCTATTTAAATCAATGGGACAATTAGTCATAAATAAATAATGAGCTGTTTACTATATTTCAATGAATTAAATCATGAGTCATTCACACTAGATCCAATTCAGTCTGACCAGCAAAAAAAAAAACATTCCTGTGAAATTACAAATACTTTGAACAACTTAATCTCCTTTATCTTAAAGCTAGATTAAGACGACCGGTGTTATATCCCAGTGATTTCACAATGACTTTACTGGAGCTAAATTACAACATTTAAGGCTGCTGTCGTATAAACCCATACCTGGATTACTACACATATTCTACACATTAAATATAAGTGGGATCATTGAAGTAGGGTTAAGAATTGTTTTTATTGAATTCATGCATTGATTTATCATTTTCAACATGTAATTTTTCCTTATCTTCTTGACTAATTGCATACATTTTTAAAATGTGCATCCAATATAATATTCAGTGGTCATCTCAGCTCTTAGCCTGAAAAGCATCGACTGGGGTCACTTCACCATAAAATGGCATGATAGTTCTTGCTAGTGGGAATACAAATATGTTCTCTATTCTTTGAGTCTCTCCATTGCTTTCTTCACACGTAAATACCCCTTTCCTACAGGATCTTTTTCAGACGGCACTATCCATTGGCTACCATCAGTTTTTGTGACATGGATCCTGAAAATCGAAAGTGAGTACTCTTCAGCTTAAATCTTACAGCAAGTATTGAAGGCTGATTTTAAGACATATTTTCAAAGCAATTTCAAGATGTTATGCACAAGAAAAACTAGGGACAAGGAACAAAGAATGTCATGTAATCATTGCCATACCCTGAGCTGTAGCAAGCCCTTGTAAAAAAAAAAAAAATCCTCCACCACAAGGGAAATTATAAAATGGATTGCATAATACAGTCCATCCATGTCCTTATTTCATCTTATATGCATTTATTCAATTGTATGAACACACATAAAAAAAATGATTTCAATCTTGGGAAGCAGCTGAGCTGCTAATTTATCATTCCCTTGAAAGGTCTTCTCCTCATATGGCTAATATCCAGGGATTAAGATGTAAGGGAAATCAAAAGTTCTCACAAATACTGAAATATACGTAGTCCTCAACTTACAACCGTGAGACAGTTGTTAAGTGAGTTTTGCTTCATTTTACGACCTTTTTTGCAATAGTTGTTGAGTGAATCACTGCAGTTGATAAATGTTAAGTGATATGACTTCCCCATTGACTTGCTGGTCAGAAGGTTGCAAAAGGGATCATGTGACCTTGGGACTCAGCAACAGTAATAAATATGAACCAGTTGCCAAGCATCTGAGTTTTGATCTCACATGATCGTGGGGATGATGCAAAGGTTGTAACTGCAAAAAACGGCCATAGGTCACTTTTTTTCAGTGCTGTCGTAACTTTGAGCACTCACTAAGTGAACTGTTGTAACTCGAGGACTACCTGTAATTTTGTACAACTTTTATTATTCAAATATTTATTTATTTATAATTTTTTTATTAAGAGTTTTGATAAAAGATAAAAATTAGCAAGGACTACTAAAAAAAGGAAAAGAGGGGAAAAGATATAAAAAGTATAAGCAAAAAGAAATAGAAAGTAGTAGCTTCAGATTTGCTTTGCAACAAATATAAGTATAATTATGATTATTTTAAAAAAGGGGTTTTATATATATATATATATATTGTCTACTTTTTCTAGTCCTCAGAGTTATAAACCATAAGTCAACTTTTTTTCTGCTTTATGCAAAAAACAAACAAACAAACAAACCAAAAACCTATAAGGGGTTTCCAGCCAGCAATAAGCATAGTTTTGTTAGACCAGAGGTCTTCAAACTTGGCAGCTTTAAGACTTGTGGACTTCAACTCCCAGAATTCTCCAGCCAGCTATGCTATGTCAGCCAGCTGGAGAATTCTGGGAGTTGAAGTCCACAAGTCTTAAAGCTGCCAAGTTTGAGGACCCCTGTCTTAGACAATACAATCACAAGCCAATAACAAACTTCACAGAGCCTAAATACTTTTTAAAAAAAAAAATGACTTGTTTAATGGGGGTTTCAAATATACCTCAGCCAATCCAGTGTTTGATTCTACTGCTGAACCCAGATAAGGCAGTAGATGCTGATTATGGAGTAGTGCAAAAGCTTCAGAATGTTGAAGAATCTTCAGGTCCTCCCATGATTTATTTCCCCGAAATGTTTTGTTTTAGTAACGTATTCAAAATATTTTATCAAAGTTACTTCTTTTCTTCCCACATATATGGTCTTTGGAGGGGTAATGATACACTCTGTTATTTTCCAAGTGAGACTATTTCCCAGCAACCCACTTTATCGTTTGCCTGCACCTGGAAATAGTTCCCAATGAATTGTTTTGTCAACATAACAACAGAACTGAGGTTCTGTTGATGTTCTCTTGATGGCATGTCTGGAACTCAAACATTTGTTGTGATGGTGTAACTTTAAAGGATGGGGTTTTTTTAGCACTGCTGAAATGTATGCTCTTGTACAAGTTTAAGAAAATACAGAATTTGTTTTTATTGCACATTTTTTTGTACAGCAAATCTCTGGTGCTTGTCACATGATTAAAAACAAAAGTGTCTGAGTAATAATGAAATATAATTGCAAATCCTTAGTGCATTTGGATCTACTTTCTGGAAGCAAGAGAAATGTAATAGATACTATTCATTGTTCTGGGGGGAAGAGATCTAAACTAGTGGCATGGATCAAAGCACGAAACTTAATTGTATGGTTGGGGTGGATCATAGCATGGGATAGATCACAGCATGGGAAGCAAAAAGTTATAGCATTGACATTATGGCAGTTCTGTTCAAAAGCAACAAGATTAATAACTGTATTTTATTGCCAAGATGACAATAGTGAGCAACATTGCTGATGAGATACACATCAGGGGCATTTTGTTAATCCAAAATAGTATATGTAAATCAAGCCCTTTAAAAGGAAAATAGTTTCAATGATTTGGTAATAATATTATCTGCATTCTTCAATAACTGATTGAACCCATGATATCAATTTCAGCTTGAAGAGGCTTATATGAAAGAAACTTATATTACTATCTAAACCAGCTTCTCTTTTTGTGATTTTTTTTCAATTTCCATAGGATCTGAAGTAATTTTGAAATCCATAGTACTCGGTGAGCTAGAAGTACATCAGATTTTCAACTAGGCTTCCAATATAGACATTTAGTGCAGGAAATTTGGGGTTATTCTTGAGTAAAATTCTGTTGGGAGGTACAGAAAAAAAATCTTGAATGTTGAGAGAGGTTAGAAAGCTATTCTGAACACATTTAATTTTTTAATGCAATGTAACATCAAAATTGCAGGAAAAAGGTCAAAATATACAGAACAGAATTGTCTCAGTAAGAACGTATGATTTTTTTAAAAAAGTTCAAAACCTGGGAATATCACTTATGTTTCTCCTCATTCCATTTCTTTTCACCAGGCTTCAGCAACAGAAGCTAAGCCTTTTTTTCTTATATGAATTCAGTTATTTCTTTGGAAAGTTACATTAAGAAAATGGTGTGAGTTCGTGTTTATTAAATCTAATATCTCTTTTTCATTTTAAGGTGGCAAAAGTTTTCTAAAACTTCAAGGTAAGCTATATGGATGGCATGAATCAAAGATGGTAGCCTTGACTGCATAATCAAAGCCTTTTTTATATATATTTATATATGTATATTTATATATGTATATGTATTGCAGATGTAAGGCAATTTAGATAAGGGAGGGGGGCCTTGATTGTATAGAGTAGACATAGCTACCGACTTAATGTTTTTTGACTCATATCTCTTCCACAGTCTTTCCTGTATTAGATATTAGTCAGGGAGCTTTTTAAGCTATTGGCTAAGTAAAGGTTAAAATGAAAAAAAAAAAAAACAATAACACAAATAGAGTTTAAAGGCATTGAAGTTGTATAAATGCCTCCTTGTTGAACCAACATCTACATTCTAATAATGTTTACTACTTAAATATAAATTCCATTAATTTCAAAGGAGCTGCTTGTACATACTTGATTAAGATTACAGCTCATGTCCCATTTTGTACTTACACTCTTAATTAATTTTGGATCTAAGCTTTAATCTTTATTGTTGCACTCTGCTGCTTCTTAAATGACTTACATAATGAATCAATGAAAGGAAAGAGGAAAACTGAGTGCATAAGATCAGTGAGTCAGTTTGGGTATTGCCTCTTCCTATTCCTTAAAAATTTCAAGCCCAGACCAGATACTATTTGAACAAAGGATTAAAATGCTTTTCATAGCATCCTGCCCCTCCTGTGAAATACCAGAAGCAAAATGTATGATGTAAAAGAAAAGTAGTGCAGTATAAAACTTTCTCCACACTCTTATCGAAGCCGTTTCATCATCATTAGTCATGACTATAAAGTGTTAAATCTGTTATTTCAAACACTGCTTCCTGTCCGTCTTCCACCATAGGATCTTTGGTGTTGTTTCCAAGAGCCCAGCTGATTCTGAGAATATTTGCCACCTCTTTGCAGAATATGATGCCGTGCATCCCGCTTCTCACGTAGTTGACTTTATCCAGAAACTTCTCCTTGATGTCTAAGGCTGCCACAGTACTGAAATGTCTGTTTCTAACAAATTCTTTGCCTTGTGCAGTGTGCCAAATGATGTTACCTCTTCAAGCTGCTGTGTTGTGTTTTGAGGCTGCATATTGGTTTTCATCAATAGGATACTACTTAAGATTATTGGTATCAACCTTCATAATCTCCAGACAAAAAATAATAATCACTGGCTGGGGAGTGATCGATCTGAAACAATATCTGTTAATATCTGTTCCCTCTGTTACAATAGAATAGTTGCAATGAGAAATAAGAGGATTTTATGGGAATAGTTTAACAGAGAACCAGAACATGCTCTGTCCTATCTGCAGATAGACTAGCATTGTATTTCCTGACCTTCTGTTTTCTCAGAAACCTATCTGTCTTATTGGAAAAGATATTTTTTACAATTGATGTTGCTTTTTTTTGTAACAACTCAAATACTGGGAATAAGAGTGCTGATAGTGATGTAATAGATTATTGACACCGTTTCAATGCCTTTTTGATATTATGTTTCACTTCTTCATTTATTGTAATGGCCAGTGGGGAAGTCCAATAAACTAAATTTGCAAGCTACTTTGCGCTGAAATGAAATTGAAATGTAATAAAACATGCAATTTTACCCTAAAAACAAAAAACAAAAAAAAATCAAAAACAGGAATCTGTCGTGGCAATACCTGTTGTGACTTCATCATTAATGAATGAAACAACTCTTCAAGCTTGTGTTTCCCCACTTTGTAAGGAAGTTTTTTAAAAACCCAGGGTTTCAAAATAATTTTTGTTGTTGCTGTTGTTTTGTTGTCAGAAAGTTATTTCCAATATTATACAAAATACTCAGCCTTTTCTTATTGCGTCAGTCTTTCACATATACTCCTTTTTGCCTGGCCATTGGCCTCAATAATGCAGCAGAGGACTGGGGATGCAATGAAAGAGCAATTCTTAAGCATTAAGAAAAGCATGAATGTAAGAGTTTATCACTTCTTTCCATCCTGCATGGAACTTGCTATAATTGATTTGCATCAGGCATAGGCACTCTGTACCATGAAAGCTGATGGACAGAGAATGAAAAGACAGGCAGTTTGAGCTGCAAATGTGACACATATAGGTGCAAATCCTCCTTGATTATACTGTAAATTCAGGAGACATGAGAAGACTAGTTCAGTGCCTTGACTCTGAGAGGTTCAGGAACTGAATGCTGCTTTAAGTCTACCTCTCTCCCTGAGATAACCTTTTTCATTACATCCTATGGCATTTTGAAAATAATTAATATAATTATATTTCTTGGTTTCCCTTGATCACTTTAACTGCTGAACCATACTTTGAATGGCGTATACTTCATTGCTTCCACCCATGACTGTCAAATCAATGGCATTTTCTCAGGTACACCAAATTGTTCTCCCTCCATACTGTTAGACAGTCTTTCCACCTGCCCAACAGACCTGATTTCAGCTTGTGTCCTTGAAAAGGAAGCTGGAGTAGGATAAGAGGAAATGGAGAGGGAGGGTCTCAGAATGAGAACAGATAAGTCAATTATTTTCACTGTAGAGAGATAATCACCTAAATACCATTGCACTGATTTCATTTATGTTGAATTATTTCCCCATGCAAGAAAACATAATATTAAAAACAACATTTCTGGGGCTTGGAGCACTTTTTAACTCTTAAGCTAACACACTGTGTATGAATTACTTAAATAAAGAGCTGACTAGACTTAGTTCTATTGCATAGCTTCATAAAGGTGCAAGAGGCCATCCTGATTCGTGTGGGAATTGAAATTAAAACATCCCAAACAGAAAGCTGTCTAGCCTCCAATGAAAGGATACCTACTTCTTTTTACTGTCAAACTATTCTTGTCCTTAAAAAGCTTTTTTCAACACTCAATAAGACTGTGACTTCCTGTCACTGAAATCCAGTCCTCCATATCCTGCTTAAATAGGGTTTGCTCAATAACCCACAAGCGTCACAGTTCACAAATCACAGAAACAGCAAGCATAATTCAGAAACTTTTGTGACTGGGTTCTCACAGGGCATTAAGTCAGGGGCAAGCAATCTTTTTGAGTTGGGTGTTATATTTGAAATGTGGAGACCAGAGAGGTTTGCCTCAATGGTTGTGGCCAATTGGCAAACTGTCGTATGCTTTCTATTCAGCTAAGTCATAGTTATCAATCAGAAGAGAGCTGGAGGGGACCTTGGAGGTCTTCTCATCCAAGCCTCTGCTCAAGCAGGAAGCTCTACACCATTTCAGATAAGGGACTGTCCAGTCTCTTCTTAAAAACCTCCAATGATGAAGCACCCACAACTTCTGAAGGCAAGCTCTTCTACTGGTTCAATTGTTTTCACCGTTGGGAAGTTTTTTCTTAATTCCAGGTTGCTTCTATCCTTGATTGGTTTCCATCCATTGTTTTTTGTCCTTCCCGCTAGTGCTTTGGAAAATAAGTTGACCTCCTCCTCTTTGTGGCAACCTCTCAAATACTAGAACATATCATATCCCCATTAGTCCTTCTTTTCTTTAGGCTAGCCAAACCCAAATCCTGCAACCGTTCTTCATATGTTTTTGTCTCCAGGCCTTTAATCGTCTTAGTTGCTCTTCTTTGAACTTTTTCTAAAGTTTCAACATCTTTTTTGTAATGTGGTGACCAAAACTGGATGCAGTATTCTTGGTGTGGTCTTACTAAGGATTCATAAAGTGGTACTAATACTTCAAGTGATTTTGATTCTATGCCTCTGTTTATACAACCAAGGATTGTATTAGCTTTTTTGGCTGCTGCCATACACTGCCGGCTCATATTTAAGTGATTGTCTACTGGGACTCCAAGGCTAAATAAACTCAAATGAGTTAAATTAAAATTGAGAATAAACTCAAGTCCATTCAGAAGATCTTTCTGATTTCAGAAGCATGATAACTGGGTGGTGGAGAATGCCTTTTCCTGCTTTGTTTCCCAATTATAGGATGTGCTCTTTCATGAATTGTGCTTGACCATCAGCTCTGCCTTTAGAAGATAGATCAATATGCTTATATTTTGCTAAATAGCAATACCACTTAGACTTATATACCACTTCACAGTGCTTTACAGCCCTCTAAGTGGTTTACAGAGTCAGCCTATTGCCCCCAACAATCTGGGTCCTCATTTTACCCAGCTCAAAAAGATGGAAGGCTGAGTCGACCTTGAGCCAGTAAGAATCAAACTGCTGAACTGTAGGCAGCAGGCAGGCAGCAGAAGTAGCCTGCAGTACTGCATTCTAACCACTGCACCACCATAGCTCAGAGCTTTTTAATTACATTGATCTGAAATATGTTGCTTCATTGAATTAATGAAAATATATTTACAAATGCAAGGTAAATCTAAGGAAACCATATTATGGCTTTGCATGAGGCGTGATGGCTTCAATGAACTATGTTCAGCTCAGTTTTGATTAATGTCTGATCATCTTAACTTTTTATTCCACGACCACCAGTATGCAAATGCCCTCCATGGCTGTTCCTGAAGAGTCTTTAGAGGTCTCCTTTCATACAAATGACGGTAGTTCTGATGGCTCCCAGCTCATTTATTTTTATGCCCAGTTCATATTGTTAGCAGTAACAAAATGTCATGGTCTACCTAGGACAATTGGAGGAAGGAGAGCCTCTTTCCATATAGTATATCCCTGAGATTGGTATGGAGGGCTTCTCCTGAACACCACTGCATGCTGAAGTACTGCAGTAGCTTCTTTAGGAGGAGAGAACTTTTCATTGATCATCTTGTGCTCCTTCTTCTCAGCTTTAAAACATGCTCTGCAAGAGATGTCTGTTATCCCCATTTTGTTATCTTTGAGGTACTAGGCAAATTCCTTCTTTATCCTCTAAGACTTCACAATTCCTTTCTTCTGCTGTTGCATAATATTCTTTAAGAATCATATCTCCCGTGCTTGTTTTAATCTCTGCTGAGTTTAAATTGCTATGTTAATTGATGTATTGTTTCACTTCATGCATAGTAGATGTGTTTGTGTTTCATTATGCATTGTCCTTAGAGCTATCCAGGAATTTTAAAAAATAAACTGAATAAATACATTTTTCCCTCAACTTGAGCCCAACTTCCAGTGACTTCATGAACACGTCAATGTTGTTTTCTTGGCACCAATATGAAAGTCATTTGTTTCTTCTGGGAAAATAAACAAATATATAAACCAATAAAGTGTTCAGAATGAGCTATAATTTTCTGAGTTTCCTGTTATGCTTTCCTGTTTTGTGTGTGTTATCAGCCCATCTGGAGTTAGTTTCTCAGCTATCAATAAAATGAAAACTTCTTTATATTGCAAAAATCCTTCTAAAAACTATTCTTTAGCTGCTTAGGAGCTGCAACGCATGAATTGGAAATGTAACAGGGTATACCTTAACTTTATGTTCTATAAGCCAGTTGGGCTGGGGTACATTTCCCACACAGATTCCATCCAGTTGTGTCCCCAAGTCTGATGCAATTCACTCTTTATTACTAGTCAATATACGTCATTAAAAGTGGCAATAATTTAATGAGAAGGAAAGAACTGTTTCCTTGGCTTCATTGATGAAGAAAATTTTATAGAGTAACAACTTAGTAAAATTTCAGCCACAAAGGAAGGACACATGTTTATATAAAACTGCTCCGATAACTCCACAGCTTTTTCTTCTTTCCCTCATTAAAACGAATTGATTTAGAAGATCACAGCTTGATGCTGAGAAACTAAATTTACTATTCTTGTGCTGCAGAGGGAGCCAGTGAGTTAGATTTCTGCTCTATCCTACTTTTACTCACTAGTTAGAACATTTAACATGGGTTTAAGTTCCTGCCGAATGCAGACCGGTTTTGATTAAAATAAAATCTCTTGCTAATGTTCAAGTTTGCTATTTTTTTTTCCTGGCAGATTACAATCTATTTCTCTGAGGGAACCTGGAAAGTCATGAACAAAGCTCTGCTTTTTAATTTATGATAACTCCACCTCATTAAAACACATTTATAATGGTAAAGGAAGTTATGAAGAGATGGACATTTTGATTTCCCAGATATCAATAAAATCAAAGATTTTCTAGATTGGCTCTTTTCCCTGACTTTCATTTTGATCTTTTTTTATGACTTGAATTAGAATTCTTTTTTCATGAACCAAATTTGCAGAAAAGGAGAATTTAGCATCTGTATTCAGGTTTCAGCCACAAACGAAGGAGACATGTTTCGGATCTTAGTTTAATTTAGAAATATATATATATATATCAAGTCTAATCCCAGTTCTATTGAAAATGGCTGGATAATGTTTTTCCAAAAGGCTCCAATAACATCATAAGCACTATTATAGTAATCTTCCCTAGAATAGAAACAAGGGTAGATGTACAACTAGGTAGAACTGTAATCACCCCATTACAGATAGTTTGCAGAACTGTAAAATGCCAGTAGAAATGCTGTTATCCCCAATCTAAATGAAACTCCTAGAACTCCTCAGAGAACAATAGTTGGCTATTGTTAAGAATTCTGGAAATTTTTCTAAAAGGTGCCCAAGGAAGGGAAAAATAGTACAAATGATTACTTTTTGTACTATAAAAATAGTACAAATGATTACACCTCTCCTGCGCGAGCTGCACTGGCTCCCAGTGGTCTTCCAGGTGCGCTTCAAGGTATTGGTTACCACCTTTAGAGCGCTCCATGACTTAGGACCTGGGTACCTATGAGACCGCCTTCTGCCACCGGTAGCCTCTCACCGACCAGTACGGTCCCACAGAGAGGGGCTCCTCAGGGTGCTGTCGGTCAGTGTCAACTGGTGGCCCCCAGGGGGAGAGCCTTCTCTGTGGGGGCACCTGCCCTTTGGAACTAGCTCCCCCCAGAGATACGGAGGATCCCAGATTTACGCACTTTCCGCTGTGCCCTCAAGACTTTTTTATTCCAACAAGCTGGGCTGGCCTAACTCTTTTTAATTGCTTAATTTTAATTTTAATTTGCTTTTTAAAAAGTGGGTGTTTTAATTAGTATGGGCCAAATTTGTTTAATATGTTTTAAATTGTTTTTAAATTTTATATTGTATGTGTTTTATTTTTGGCTGTTCACCGCCCTGAATCCTTCAGGAGAAGGGCGGTATATAAATCCAAATAAACCTAAACTTAACGGATTCTCCCTCGTTGTTATACAGGTAGTCCTCGACTTACAACAGTTCATTTAGTGACCGTTCAAAGTTACAATGGCACTAAAAAAGTGACTTATGATCATTTTTCACACTTAACAACCATTGCAGCATTCCTATGTTTGTTCATAGGGTTAAAATTCAGACACTTTACAACTGACTCATATTTATGACAGTTACAATGTCCCAGGGTCACGGGATCACCTTTTGCAACCGTCTCACAAGCAAAGTCAATGGGGAAGCCAGATTCATTTAACAACTGTGTAACCTAGCAACTCCAGTGATTCACTTAACATCTGTGTCAAGAAAAGTCATAAATGGGGCAAAACTCATTTAACAAATGTCTCACTATCTGTATTGTGTTAAATGCAGACTAAAGATATCTTATTAACATCCCAGCCCACCATGAAGGTGAGATACTTAAGAACTTGGTAATTCCAGTTTAGAAGTAAAAATTTTCCTCGGTCATCAGGCAAGTATTGTTCTTTGAACAATGAATGATACCTTTACTGTGATGTGTTGGTTACATGGTCTGCCAGTTCCCATTAGTCACCTGAAACTAAAAAAGTTATAACTCCTTCATGTCTGGATACTGTTTCCCAGGATTGTTCCGCTTTTAGCAATGCCAGAATCCAGCTCTTTCAAGCTCTTTTCTTCCATCTCTTCCCACTTTTCTTCCAGCCAAATCCCCAAGCTTCATCTCGGATGCAGGATGCATTTGGAATGAAATTATTTTAGTCAGTCCACCAATCCCAAGAATGAGGGGGGGGGCATAGGGGAGAGGGTAAGTGGCTCTTTAACCCCCAGTTCTCCTGGATCAGAAAATTGGGGGCTATAACTGATAAAGTAGAACCACTTCCCCCCCACCCACCCCCCACATACACACACACATTTGCCAGCCAGTGGACTCATGTTAACAGACCTCTGGAAGACTGCTAGATATTTGTCACTGCTCTACAGGCTTTTCCAGGGAGTTGTTGGGCATGCCCAAAAAAGCACAGCTCTTATCTTGCGCTCTACCAAAACATTCCCCACTCAAGTTCCTTTATCAAGTAGAGCCTACCCAACCAACACAGTTGGGAGTTTAATTCCTAGGGGAAGGGGTTTTTTTTGGGGAAAGCATTGGGAGAGTATAGCCAATTTTACCAAACAGAACCACACTCACATACACATAAACACATCCATCCTACCTGACGGATCAGCATTTGACCCATTGTCTACCCATCTATTATGGCTTGCCTCTTGATGGCACTTTCCCCCACCAGTAAGCAATCTGGAAATCCAGTTGTGTGGACACAACAACAGCAGCCAGCCTTTTTGCTGAAGCAGAACAGGGTTCAGCCATGAGGACAGGATAAAGTATGCCAGCAAGTATACACTGATATCCTTTCTTTGGACTGGAGAAAAACAGATTAATACCGCTTTAAGGAAGAACCATCGATACAGGCATAAAGAAACCCATGCATCATCTGAAGTTAGCTTTCTGTTAGTTCACCATTTATGCTTTCAAAAGCTATCACTAATGCAAGCATAACTTTACACAAATGGATAGCCACTAGGTATATCCAACCTGAAGTTCTCAGAATTTTCAGCAAACAGGGCCAAAATTTATGAAACGCACTGAATTGGTGAGATTGTCCAATGTTTGCTTATCTGAGTCTGTTCCTCAGTCAGGCCAGAGGGTTGTAGCTGGTAAAGTAAAGAGCTCCAAGAACAGTAACAGTGATGTATCAGGTCATATTGAAATTACATGAATGTAGCTTTCTTCTTATCTTGATGGAGATAAGATTGGATTCTTTATGATCCCAAAATTATGAAAGTGGGTGAGAGAACCTGACATAAGCAAAAACACATTTAATTTTACTAGCCATTCTTTCATTCATTCATTCATTCATTCATTCATTCATTCATTCATTCATTTTTTAAATAGCACATTTTCCATTAAATATAGCTGATTGTACCAGTACTTGCTTACTTAGAGACTCATTTTGAATAAATAGTTTACCTTTTCCTATAAGAAAATGGAACGAGTCCTTAATTAAGGACTAGGTAGGATGTGGGGATGGCATAACTTTAATGGGCCCCAGAGAATTTTACCAAGATATTCCAAAATTGGGGAAACATGTCAGTGCTGCCAAGCAGATTTACTGTGTACTGTAAAGCAGTGTGGCTGGATGTGAGTTCTGTGAGTTGCTGTCCATGCCTCTTAAAATGCAAAGATTGAGAAGCACTGCTGTTAGGCATGAAATAATAAGTATAGGAGGGAAGAAAATGTGGGTTTGGAGTAGAGACATCTAGGAAGGGTTAAGACAGAGAGGCAAATGACAAAATAAGCACTCCCCCGTCACTCTTTTTGTACATGCATTATGTACCTTGCAGAAGCCTCTAGTGTGGACTTCATAGCTTAAGTGATATACATGCCTATTAAAATTCAAAGACTAAAACTGCTTATGTCCATCTCTGTACCCAGAAATGCTTAGGACTGCTGGACAAAGGTATAGATCCCTGAAGTCAACAGAATTAGAGGACATGGTATAGATAATAAAATATAAGGAAGAGGAAGGGTAGATACTGAGAAGATAATTCATTTCCATGTCATTTCCATGTCATGTATTTCCATGTCGAACTGTATTTCCATGTCAAACTACCGTATATGAAATTTAGTCAAATCCTGTTTCAAGAATGTTGTTTGTTTCTTCAAAGTGTTCAGGGCACTGTCTTTACTTTGGGGGATTTCAAAATAGGGTGGTTTTTTGAGGGGCAGCTGGTGAAGAAAATTGCTTTTCTTAATCTTAATATTTTCTTCTCCTTTACACTGAAGATTTCTGATACAGCAGAAAAATTAGAATCAGGTAGCCAAAGAAGCAGACACAAGCCATATTGTAGCATTCACCAATATTTCTGCCAATACTCCTTCAGCTTACATCTTTGAATTGATTTGATAGCCAACTGAGCCTCGAGAAAAAGCATACTTGAGACCATATTTGACAAGTGCCACAAAGTTCTGTCAAAAAAAATAAATACAAATTCAAATCAGGGAAATCAGATTAGGAGTACACTAGGAGAATTTGG